AAAAAATAGTAACAACATTAAACTGGTATACTAATGAAAATGTGTTATAAAATATAAATCATGACATTGATGATGGTATCATATTTCTGTTATCATGATATATACCTTAGTGGAAATAACCTAAACTAAATGGAAATAACATAATTATATTATTTTCACTTAATTTTTAGTCATTGGAAATATAGTAAAAATAATTTATTATAGATATTTGTATCAAATTGGTAAACTTTAATTAAAAAAAAAATATATTGTTATATTTGTATAAATATAAATAAAAAGCAGCTTGTATTGTGCATAATTGTACAAGATAACAATAGTATTGAATCTAAATTTATATCTGTGATAGAATTAAATTTTTAAATATATTCTAGTAATTTATCTATAATTAATATTATTTATAAAAATTTTTTAAAACTGAAATAAGATATTCTAAATTGAATTGAAGAAAAATAAAATTATAAAATGATTATTATTTGAAATATTATTTTAACCATTTTAAATAAAACAAGATAATATCACTATATTTATTGTTCATGTTGAAGTCTTGAATAATGAAACTTTTTATTTTGTTAGATTTGAATATATCTTCAATTTTAATCATAAAGTTTAAAGAGATCAGTATTTAGTAATACAAATTATTAATAAGTATAATATTAGTATTTATATATATTAATGTGAAATTTTAAGAGAAGAACATTTTGACATGTCACTTAAAAATGTATGAAAAAAATGGTTATATGTCAAGAAAAGAATCCAATGGTATTATTTAGTTTAACAAATTTAATTATATAATTTATAATAAAATAACGAATGAAAATTTCTCTATTTACACAGGTCAAATATGAAAGAATTACTGTACCAAAAAGGAATTTTGATTTTAGCTAATTTATAATATATAGGATACAATAGCTTTACTGATTTTTAGCTGATCTATAATATAGGAATTACCATTTGATACAGTGATTCTTTTGTATTTGACTAGTGATAAGTTAAAGTACTTTATCTATTTAAAAAAACAAATAAATAACTGTTTAATCAATTGTCCCATTACCTAACTAATTGTTCCACTGCTTAATATTTGATAACTAATTTATTTTTCTTCCTTCTAATGTTCAATATAGTTGTTTTATTCTATTTTTTTTTTAATTCCAAAAATGTAATACATTAAAAACGACTGATATAATCCCGTGATTCTGAATCGCTAAATTATAATTGGCTAAAATCGCATAGGAGATGAATAAATCTTGATCACTGGATCAAATTTTTATTAAGTCACTGTACTGTATCAAAAAAAATAACCATAGTTTGAAACCTACGTAATATGTCATAAAGACGTAGATCATAAATTATAATGACGAACTAGTTAAAAATATATGACGAGACCTATAATTATTAGTTATCAAGTCGACTTTAATATTAATTAATCAATAATAATAGAATAGACTTTCAATCAATCTTAACCTTAGTCTTAACATTAACATTAATAAAAATGAAGACAACTTCACTTGTATTTTGAACAATAAAACCTAATAAATCATACTTTAGGTGTTTGGTAAAAACATTACAATTTGATATTTGTTAATCTTAGTTGTGCTATGTGTAAGTAAATATACATTCAACAAATTATTCATTATTTCCACAAAGATATAGTAATCTCAACGTACGCGTCACGTACAAATTAATTCAATAAAGTACAACGCACTAATTTATTGAAATGAATATTTATTTCCTTACATTCAAAACCACAAAAATCATTGTTACGCGTAACGCCACCCGATTCCATCATCTACTATTATAATTATATTCTTTATTAGTTTTTAGTTTTACTTGTACCTTAATTGCAATACCTTTGATCGAAGTTAATAATATTAAACATAAATCCAAGATCAGAATGAAATAGTTAATACCTTATAAAGAAGGCGCGAATTAAATGAAGAAACAACAAGTAATTTACCTCAACTCAAAATACAACTATTCCTAAAACTACTTCTAGAGTCAAAACTCCAAAGATTGTGGTGAAATTTACAATCTTTAAAGGAAAACAAAATGAGAATGTAGTTGCCTGATTATGGCAAATGCAAACAGCTTTTGCAGCTCAAGAAATTGAGGATCAAACAACACAAATTTATTATGGGTTAGAAGGTTGAGCATTACACTGAAAACAATGAGTGTAGAAGAAGAAGTTGCTTTTGAAGATTGGGAAGCGTTTGTAAATACTATATGAAAAGCATTCCAATCATCAAAATCGTCAAAAACAATTAAGACAAACTGAATCAGTACGTACAAGAATATACAATTCAGAAATATAGTGGAAAAAATTGATGAAATGAGTGAGTAGATATATGCATTTTACTGATGGTTTAAATCGGAAACCAAGATGGAATTGAACTATCAATCGCCAGATACCTTTGAAGATTTGGAGAAGGCAGATCTACTTACAATAATTTTTCATCACAACAAACTAGAAAGTTATCATTGATCTCTAGAACAAGTTGATGAATGTTAACAAGAAAATTATGTTAATCAAAAATAGAAATAAAAAGATAAATGAAAAGAAAGTAACTTGATTTAAATGTGGACAAACTGGTCGCTAATGTAGAAGTAAAGGCAAGCCAAGAATATTTATAATAGAAAAGAATTGATCATCATCATCATCAAGAGAAAGTATAAATGATGAAACAATGGATCGAAAAGGTTCTTGTTCAAGTAAAGATAAGGGTAAAAGGTAAAGGAAAAGAAAAAGCCAGAAATAGTAAAGATCAAAGATAATAGGGAAAGGTAACTTAAAGTTAATGGAAAAGTAGAAAAATATATAACCTTTTGTTGACGTATCCTTATTTTCATTTTCAAACAAAAAATAAAAAATATACTCTCTAGAAACACATCAATTGCTACATTTTTTTTTTTTTTTCCAATTGAGTGTCCAGATTATTCTTTAGGTAACAGTTTGGAACAAATTTTAATTTGTTCATTCATGACTCTGAGTTTTTCTTTGTATCGTAAATTCTAAAACAAAGAAATTTACATATTTGAATAAATAAATATAATTTTATTGGTTGAATTGAAAATCAGTTTCAGGTGACAAAATTGAATGGGTGATATAAATATACAAATCAGCCACGTTACTTTTAATGGAACCAATCATACCAATGTATTATTTGTCTGGGCTGCATTAAAGTTTTAACTGATATATCAAAAATGGTAATATATATTTTATATATACATAAAAAATCAAATAATTAAATACATATTTGGTATTTATAGTCTGCTATGATTTACATAAATATGGTAAGTTTATGCAAAAAAATTCAAGCCCTATGACAAAGCTTATAAACAACATTGGAAAGCAATTTAACCCAAAGAAAGGAAAAAAGGCTTTTGTTGTAAATAAAAATATCATTAAATTTATCATTAAATTTATCATTAAATTTATCGTTATGAATTTCTTCACCTAAAAAGAACATTTCTCCAGGTTTAGATTTCATTTATAACGCCATCCCCAGATTTTTTGATCTTACCATTTGAGATCCGAGTATTATTTTTTTTACAATATATAATTAATTTTTTTATATTCATTATTCATTTAATGTAAAATTGAAAAGTTAATAACAAATAACAATGAAGTGATTGGCATCGTTATTGATTAATTTGATTACTTAATCATCAAATCAAAATTTCGTAAAAAAGTAAATATGAGAATACTGCATTTTTTTTTATTGCATATTATCAATATTATCAACAGATAATTCTATTTTCTTTATCCGACATATTAATTTCGTCATAAAAAGTGCACTCATTCCAAAATCTGCATAATTATTATAGCAATATGTTATCTAGAATTATTCTTAAAACATGTATTTATCACGTTATAATAAAAACTGTATTTTATCAAGTTCCATTTTTAATATTACAATAGTATTGTTTGAGAAGGCGTAAATTTTTAAAATATTATATAAGAATCAAATTTACCGATTTTTCTGACATTAAAAAATAATTATTCTCCGTCATTCATTTTTTTTATTATATTAATAATATCCTATAGATATTATCAATATTACACTCGTTAAAAAAAAAAAAAAAACCGTCATTGTCGCCGTTTCATATAAAGTTCAATCAAAAAATCAAAGAAAGATATGAACGTGACGATAAACACATTAATACATAATGAATGAAATTGAGAATTTTCCCCTTTCTTCCTCTTCTCATATTTTGTTACGTTGTACGAAAAAAATCATCATATATATCTCTGTGCGCGTATAAATAGAATTCTTTCATTCTATGTCTATATCATGTGACGACAAAAAATCACAAATATATAAATATTCAAATATCAATTATATCAATTATATTTTGAATAATAATAATAATGTGTAGAAAAAGAAAAAAATAACAAAAAAAAATAGTAAAATAACGAAAATAACGACGACGGAACATTATTATTGAATCTTCGATAAATCATTTTTTATTATTTCCTTTTTCACTCGAAATTGTTTAAAAAATTTTCTTTTGAACCTTGTGAACGATCGGAATTTATTAATACCTTGTGAAATTTAATTTGTTTTTTTTTTTTTAAAAAAAAAAAAATTCGACTTTTTGTATATAGCATTTATGTATATTGTTTTTTTTTAATTTTTTTTTACATATCATTTTAATCTTTTTATTCCTTGTGAACGATCGAATTTCGTTATTAGAAAAATCATAAGCTAAAAAAATCTGTAAAATTATGAGTTAACCTTTATGACTTAATAAAATAAAAATAAAAAATATGAATTTTTTAAAATTTTTTTACATAGATCGTCACTTTTACATGGAGTGTAATAATGAGATAATAATCGTAATTACATAATAATTATCCAAATTTTTTTTCCTTAATTTTTTTTCCTTAATTTTTATTTAATAATAAAAAACGTAATTAAACGTAATGACCAAAAAAAAAAAATAGATATATATTTATATATTCTATTTAAAATTTTTGTCTTCAAAACTTTAAAATCTAAAAAATGTCTAAAGAAGAACAACCAAGTAATAAATATATAATATCTTTTGAAAGAATAATTTATTTATAATAATAATGATATATTTATAGGTAATCCTCCTGGAGAAAAGATGTCAACCATGAGCGCAATGCTGGATTATTCAGCTAATGCTATTCAAAATTTTGATCCCATTAAAAATGTTCATGAACATATTTGTGGATTCCATTTCTACAGGTAATTTCATTTTCTCACGAACTTCATTTATAATAATATATATATATCATTTTTTTCTTTTTGAATTCGAAAAAAAAAAAATTAGTCATGATTCAACTCGTCAAGTTGAAGCGCATCACTATTGTGCTCACCTTAACGAGGAGTTTCGTCAATGTTTAATTTATGATTCAAATAAACCCGATGCAAAGTTGATTGGCGTTGAATATATCATTTCAGCTAAAACTTTTCTGTGTAAGAAAATATTTATGTGTATAGATATTGTATATATGGTGATCCCCTCCAAAAATAAAAAGGTGTGATTATAATGAAAAGTGACTATATAGAGGAAAAACCCTAAGGGTTTTTTATATATTTCGCTACTCATAACTCATGTCATACAAACAATCATTGTTTTACGTTTGTGAGTAGTGTAATATAACTGGATTTATATTATGTGATTGACTATAGAGGGGATCGACTGTATGTGTAAATACAATAATTAATCATAATAATAATTATAATAGCTCTTCCGGAAGAAGAAAAGAAGTATTGGCATTCTCACCAATACGAAGTAAGCGATATTATTTTTATAATAAAATATATCTTTAATTATCAGTATATAATATCACTCTTAATACTTTATATTATATGTTATAGGTCAAGTCCGGATTGATAATTACTCCTTTTAACGCGATGGTTCCTAATGCTATAGCAGAATCAGCCGAGAAAAAGATTATGGAAGGTTTGGTTGATACTTACGGCAAGGTAAAAAATAATAATTTGAAATTAGTGACAAATTTTCATCTTTCTTCTAAACTTATCAATTCTTTTTTTTTTTTTTTAAAAAAAAAAAAAATGACAATAGACTTGGCATTTCTGGCAAATTGATCGTGGTGATAAGTTACCATATGGTCAAGTATCTCTTCTCTCTAATAATAATAATAATAACAAAAATAATAATAAATTTGTTAAAAAATTTTTTTTTGCGTAATTTAGGTCCACCACAGTTAATGATGTCTTTTCTGGAAGATAATCAAGTATCACAAGATTTAATTAACGATCGTGACAAACGCTTCAACGTGTCTACTTCTGACAAACGTGATAAACGCGCTTACATCAAACCTGTTTATAACGTTAATCCCGATGCTGACCATTGGGCTCATAGAAAAGATGGAAAAGCCTATAGTAAGTACTATGTACTAGCATTACTTTGTTCTCGTGATATTTTATTTGTCTAATATCAGTAAAATTACCATTTTTTATTAATTAGCATGTGAAATGGTTCCGAAAGATATACGTAGATAAATTTAAGAAAGCGATACCTTTTGACAATGAGTAAGTAAAGAATTATGATATCACATGTACTTCTTGTTCATAACGATATTCTTTACAATTATTTCATATAATATAATATTTAGATATTAAATAATAGTCTTACTAAAATTTATATACCAAATAAAATATTAAAGAACCTGTTTAATATTTATATTCTTCATTTAATCAATTTTAAGAAAAAGAATAACGCACGATGTTCATTGAAAACCGATAAGGGACAGCCTTAATTTTATCTAAATAATTGATATACCATATTAAGAATATAGCTTATCATACATAATATCGTCAAAACGTAATAAATAATGCATAATTTTATTGTAAAAATCTATTAATTAAAGTTGTTCAGAATATAAAAAAAAGTTACTTAGAAACCCTGCATACATGTAAATGTTTTTTCTGTATCACAACCTTCCAATCCTAGCGCAAGATTAACATCATCAAGATTTAAGATTAAACTTTGAGAGTTAAAGAGCTGTCGATTTGCTTTATTATTAAAATTCTCGATAAAAAAAAAAAATAGAATGTATCAGTCACTATATGTTGTGGGTCTTTTAATTATTTCAGTATTACAAGTATTTGCATTTCCATATAATTTCATTAATGAAGATACTCCAGTAGAAGGTCAAAGAACTCACGGTCATATCCATCATATAAAAGGGCATAAGCAAATTGACCTCCCCTTTTGGATCAAAATTTTACTTTTGGTTTTTTTGGTATTATTAGGAGGACTTTTTGCTGGTAAAAAATCGAAAATTTAACATAATATTTTGAAGAATTTAAATAAATTATTATTGACATTCTATAAAAATATATATTTTTTTAATATAGGGTTGACTCTCGGTTTGGTAATTCAAAGTTTATTTTTATATTATTATTACATTAAAAATTATTATTAAATTAATTTAAAAATTTCAATCAGATGAGTTTAGATGGAACAAATCTCCATATTCTCTCTAGATCAGGTGATGAAACACAACGGTATTTATCTCTACGATATAATATTTTTTAATTATCTATTTATTTATTTATACAATATATTTAACTTTATAAATCTTATCTATGATTTACTTAATAGTAAATACGCTGCTCGAATTCAACCTATTAGAAGAAATGGACATTTACTTTTAGTCACACTTTTACTTGGAAATGTATTAGTCAATGAAGCCTTACCAATAATAATGGATGATGCAATGGGAGGTGGTGGAGTTACTGCAATTTTAGTATCTAGTGCTCTTATTGTAATCTTTGGTGAAGTTATTCCTCAAGCTGTTTGCTCTAGATATGGACTTGTAATAGGAGCTTTCTTTGCCTGGTAAGTGTATATATAATTATTTTAATTATCTTCATTTAGAAAAAAAAAATGATTTTAATTAATTAAATTATTTTTAATTAAATCAATTGGTTTTATTAATTAATTTATTTAGGCCTGTGAGAATATTAATTTGGGCGACTGTAAGTCATTTTAAAATTAACTTAATATTTAAACCTTTTAAATTCTCATGTTTTCGTTAACTGAAAAAAAGTATATAGTGAGTTATCCGATGGCCAAATTATTAGATTTAATTCTAGGTGAAAATCATGGAATAATTTATAGACGTGCAGGTAAATTTTATTAATTTTGTTTTTTTTAATAACTTATTTATTATTTTGATTCTATTTTGATTTTATACTTAATTAATTTATTTATTAATTTGATTTCTCTTATTTAGAATTGAAAGAATTAATCATGTATCACGAAGATTCCACTGAAAGAGGAGGTGATCTTGTTAAGGATAGCGTTACAATTATACGTGGTGCTCTTGATCTTCAAGACAAAGTAGTTGAGAGTGCAATGACTCCAATTAATAAAGTAAAATTTATTATTATTATTATTATTATTATTATTATTATTGTTATTGTTGTTGTTGTTGTTGTTGTTTTTGTTTGTTATTATTATTCTTCTTCTCAATCTATTATCAACAAGATTTGATTTTTTAAAATATATTATAGGCTTTCATGATACCAATTGACAGTATTATGGATAGAATTACTTTGAGGGAGATTTATTCGACTGGACATTCTAGAATTCCTGTATACGGAGAATCTCGTGAAAATATTTTAGGAGTTTTATTGACAAAGGTATAGAAAAATATATCTTTATATTTATATATATTTAATATATCTTACGTGGTGAAAATTAACTGAATTAACTTAATATATTATAAAATTATTTTAAATTAACTTAATATATTTTAAAATTATTTTAAATTATCTAAAAAGTCTTTAATAATGTATAGTCCGGATGAAAATAAGCCCTTAAATAAATTCCGCATAAATACCATGCCAACAGTTGACGCCAAAACACCATTATTTGATATTCTCAACACATTTCAGGACGGTCGAAGTCATATGGCTATTGTGGTAGAAGAAGAACAAGCCAAACCAATTGGTATTATTACTTTAGAAGATGTTTTAGAAGAACTTATTCAAGAAGAAATTTATGACGAATCAGATGCTCGAGTTGGATTAGCAGTTAAATTAGAAACGGGTGATCAATTAATTATTGCATCTAAAAGAAAACGTACTGGATCAGCGACGAATAATCAAAAAAATAAATTTAAATCTCAAGCTTTTAGATCAAATACCGACCCGATCTTGACATCCAAGGCACCAGTTAATAATTCAAATGATGGTAATTCTAAGGATTTAATTGTATTTGATGAGCCTAATGAATCTTCTTTACTATTACCGAATGCCTCATTGCCAAAGTAAATGGTGATAGATCGGAGAGAATTGAATCTTTAGTATCTTTACTAATGAAGAATGAATGAATGAATGAGACATTTGATTTTTATGAAAATGAATAGTACAATTTCTTTTACAAAGGATGCATATTCATATAGTAAATTATTATAGGAAATATTTATAAAATATTTATTTTATTAATGATTTTGTTCTAGAATATCTAGAATAGATTATCAATAAAATATTTTTAGAGATGTTATTTTTAAATAATTGTTACTGTTACTGTACTTGGTAGGTTTTTTTTTTTTTTTTGAATTCCGATTTAATTTCTAGAGTAAATCTATTTGTCACCAGTGGTGATTGTCACCACTGGGCAAAATTACATAATTCCCTGATCCTAACCCTAACCTAAATTTGTTAATTTTGCCCAACGGTGACTATCACCAGCGGTGACAAACATACTTTTTTTAATATACGAAATAAGATATACAAGAATCATGTGAATGATCAATTTTCACATCATTTGTGCCCGTAATTCCATTCTTTATGATTTCGCAAACCGAGATAAATCAATCAAAGTTTTTTACTGCGACGATAAAAATATAATTTATATATTTTATTAAAAATAATATAATCAATCGTTTCGTTCGTTATTCATTTTATTAATAATAACATTTGTTGAGTAAATAAAATATATTTTTAAAGTATTAACGTGATTTTTACAATAATACTATTATTAATAACATTATTAACATTAAAGTTTTTAATATAACTAATAATAGAACAATATAAAACTTAAATAAACTTAAAACTGCAAAGAAATAAATTAATTCTCTTTAAAATATTCTTCTAACATACTATTTACTTGAGCATTTAAATAATCATTATTCGTATTATTCGTATTTGGTTTGCTATCTCGTGATATGTTTCATGATAAATATGGTTTTTCTTTGAACGTATTTCTCTCTTCTATTTCTTGAAAGTATTTTGACTGCAATTTGGTTTTCCTAATCCGTAAACGAGGCAGATTTAAAGTACATTTTATAATGCTTCGATTAACAGATTCTTATCATTAATTTTAATTGTGTTTAACATTAGTTAAAATTTCCTCTACGTATAATGTCAGATCCCCCCAAAAAAGTGAGAAAAAAAACAGCATCTTGATTGGGAGAACAAATCACAATATTTTGAACAGATGATTTCTTAAAATCGTAACAAAGTACTCCACGTTTTTTTTTTATTTAATATGTTGTAAAATTGAAGAGAATTTTCGTCCACGAAGGATGAACCTTTAAATGATCTCAAATGATATCATCAATTTCTTTTCCACTCAAAAATCTTTAGTAATTTTGATAATTGAAAATGATATTTTTCTTATGAGAAAATGACTTGTTTATGTTCACAAAACAAATTAGCCAATAAAAAGTTAATTAAAAATTCGGATTGGGGGTAAATTTTTAATTCATTTAAATAAACAACCAATAAAAAGTTAATTAAAAATTCGGATTGGGTAAATTTTTAATTCATTTAAACAAACAACCAAATTAAATTAATTTTTAAAGGAGGTAATTCGTTTTTTTTTTAAAAAAATTATTTTTTTTTTTAAATTATAATAAATCAAATTAAAACGATTCGATTTTTTTAAAAAATGACTTTAGAAAAACCGGAAAAATCTGAAGTAATTATAGATAATATATTAGTAGAGGAAAATTCTGAACAAAATGTGAATGAAAATGTGAATGAAATTGTGAATGAAAATGAGAAAGAAAGTGAAAAAAATGAAAAAGAAAAAAATATTCCTTCAGCTATGATTAATTTTTATGTAATAGCAAGTGGATATCTACTTTTTACATTGACAGATTCAGGTTTACGGATGATTATTTTACTCGAATTACATAATCGACGATTTAATGTTTGTATTTTTTTTTTTTTGATAATTTTTATTATTAATATTATTATTATAAATCTCGAATAATAACAATAACGATGATGATGATGATGATGATAATAACGATAATAATTATAATAATAATATTTTTTTTTGATATATTTCAGGCACTTCAAATATCAATAATGTTTATATTATATGAATTCTTTGGAGTTGTCACGAATTTAGGTGGAGGTATTTTAGGTTCGAGACTTGGTCTTCGTTTTTGTTTATTGGTTGGATTATGTACACAAGTTATTGGGATAGGAATTTCATGTGGTTTACAATCTAATTGGAGTTCACAAATTGTTATAATATATATTGTAATTGCTCAAGGGTTTAGTGGAATTGCCAAAGATATGGTTAAATTAGGTGGTAAATCAGTTACGAAGTTAGTGACCAAAGATGATATTAAAGGTCATCAATCAAAATTATTTAATTTGGTGGCATGGTTGACAGGAGCAAAAAATTCTATCAAAGGTGCAGGATTCTTTGTTGGTGCCTTCCTACTACGTTTCGCTGGTTATGTACCATCACTGTTGATATTATTAGGTATGAATTTAATGGTAATTCCCTTTGCGTGGTATTATCTTGATAGAAATTTGGCTGTTAGTAAATCAAAGAAAAAGTTGACATTTAAAGAAATTTTCAATAAGGTATGTTAATCTTTTTTTTTTTTTGTATTTTAATATATATATATATAATTTTATTTTATTTTATTTTATTTGTTTCATTTTATTTTTTATTTTTTATTATTTTATTTGTTTTATTTTATTTTTTATTATTTTATTTTTTATTATTTTATTTTTTATTATTTTATTTTTTTTTATTTAATTTTTTATTATTTTAATTTTTTATTATTTTATTTTATTTATTAATTTAATTTATTTTTTTTTAGGGAAGAGATGTAAATATTCTTTCACTAGCAAGAATGTTTTTATTTGGATCAAGAGATCTATGGTTTGAAGTACCAATACCACTCTATCTTCGAAGTGCAATTGGATGGTCATATATTGGTACAGGAGCATTTCTTGCAGGATGGGTAATATTCTATGGGGCAATTCAATCTAGTACACCAAAATTAATTCTAAAACCAATTAAATTATATCCTGTAAAACATGGTAGATTATTAGTACCATTTACAATATCACTTTTAATAGTAAATTTGATTATAGCATTTTGTTTAACATTTATTAAACTTCCTAATAATTATACTTTAATTCTTGTAATATTATTAGTTGGATTATATTCATTTGCATTTATTTTTGCTGTAAATTCATCAATTCATTCTTTTCTTATATTAGCTTATTGTCATAGAGATAAAGTTGCAATGAATGTAGGATTTTATTATATGGCAAATGCCATGGGAAGGTTAATTGGTTTAGTGATTGGTGGACTATTATATTGGTATTTTGGATTATTTGCATGTTTATGGGCATCAACAATTGCTTTAATTTGTTGTACATTTATTTCTATTTTCCTAGGTCCTATTCCAAATGATGAATTAGAATCATTATAATAAAAATAAATTTTTTTAAAAAATTTCACCCAAAAAAAGAAATTGAAAATTAGTTAAATTAATAATTATGTTTTTCTATTACTACAAAGAATTTATAAATAATATGTGATGAATGTAATTGATGTGAAAAAAAAATAATTTAAACAAATAAATAAATAAATAAATAAATAAATAAAAAATTGTTAAAAAGAAAATCAAAATTAAATCAAAATAAAATCAAAATGATTCGTAATTTCTTTCTGCCTCTAAAACTTTGAATGATGTTTCTTTCAATATAGGTTTACCATCAATAACTGGTAATTTAAAATACATGGCATCATATTCTTCGTTCCTTGCTTTTCTTTCCATAGCCTTTTGTCTTTGTTTTTCCTCAATTACAATCTTTTCCATAGTTGCAGTTGTATAATCTCTTTGAAATAATGCCATTGATACTGGTTTCCATATATTTCTTGATTCGAGTGGACCTTGTTTTATAATAGGTCGTACAATTTTAGGAATTGTTACAAGTTTTTCCATATCTATAAGTAATTTTGTTTCCTAAAAATGATAAAACAAAAAATTCATTATTATTATTATTAGAGAAAGAAATTAATTAATTAAAGAAAAATTAGAAAAAATTAATTTTATTCTTACATCTGTGTCCAATCTTTTGGCATGAACTTTTCCACGCCAACTTCCTATTATTTCGGCCAAAACATTATTTTCATCAACACTTCTTAATTTTTTTATATTATCATCATTCTCTGGATCATATCTAAATATTTTCCCTTCTATTGCAAACTTGGGTTTCCCAAGCCATTTCTAAAAAAAAAGAATAATAAAATATTTTATAAACAAATATATAATATATATATAAAATATAATTTAGAGAAATATACAGTAAATAATTTAATAAATAATTAATTAAAAAATAAATAAATTAATTAATTAATTAATCTTTTCTTTTAAATACCTCTTCTTTATATTCTAAAATAGCTTTCAATTTTGTTTTAGGACATGTCATTATACAGCTTTCACCTAAAACAATGTATAACGATGCTTTTAACCATCCTTGAAGTGAAGCTGTTGGATGAGTTATTAAATATTCTTCGTTTCCTCTTTTGACCAAATTAATATATATTCCTTTATTTTGTTCCCCTGGTCCAATTTTTACAGCTTGTTAAAAAAAAAATTTTTTTTTTAATATATACATATTAGATAACATAACGTATTATATAGTATAAATATAACATATATATATATCTCTCTCTCAAAAATATAATATATAATATAAATATTGTTTGCTTACATGTTCCAGTAAATCTTGCTACAATTTGATCTATTCCATAAGCAGAAACCCCAGTTTCTTCGCAATTATAATGAAAAGCCGATACAGGTGGGTGATGAGAAATTTGTTCATTGAGACAAGTTACTCGATATTTTATCTCATCATTATTATTTGAGAAACCATTTTTGTTATTATTATGATTTATGAAATGACCTCTTTCATCAAATTTTGGAGTTGTCACATCCCAGTGACAAATAAATTGTTCTCCGAGAATTGAATTGTAAGGTTTTATTATTTTTCCTTTCTAATAATGATTAACAATATAAAATATATAATATACACACACACGCATATATATATATATATATAATATATATATTAATAATAAGATTTACAGAAGAAAGAAATAGAATAAAGGATAACAATATAATTATTGGTTACCTACCACATATTTCAAATCTCTGGAAAACCACCATCGAATTGCTGCAAGCATTCTCTCAAGTGGATCATCTGAGTCACCAATACTAAAAAAATAAATAAATCAATTAAAAATAAATCAATTAAAAAATCAAAAAAAAAAAAATTAAATTAAAAAAAATAATAAATTAAAAATTTACCAAATTAAATAATCTGGTCTATCATTATAATTCCAATATTCCAAATTTCCTATAGGTTCGAGTAATTGTGAAGGAAGAGAAATACGTCTATAAAGGAAATTATTATGTTATGTTATTCTATTATGTTATTCTATATTAAATTATTAAATAAGATGATAGATCAAAAGATATAAATATTTACAAGGAAACCATATCTTTAACACCGATGAAATTTTTTAAAAGGCCAAATAAAATTTTAAGTTTATTTTGATCAGGATCAAAATGATTGGTATCCTCGTCATCATCATCATTATTTTCGTTATCTCCCGAACAATTGGTTACTCGATAGTGACGTTTAGAAATAAGTTGGTCAAGAATATCTTCATAAGAAGATTCTGAAGAAGGAGTAGAAGGCGAAGGAGAAGGAGAAGAAGAAGAAGAAGGAGGAGAAGAAGAAGAATTACTGGTTAATGAAGTATTTATTGATGAAGTTTCATCTTTTATGAAATCACGTTTTTTAAGATCTTTATTAGAATCTATTTTTTTGTATTCGCACTCTAAGTTTGAATCCGAACAAACAGAAGAGTCTGACATTATGTTATGTTAATTTCGTAAAATAAATAAATAATAATGAATAATAAAAAATTTATTATTATTTTTCTTATAGAATATCCCTTTTAATCTTTAAAACGAGATAATTAAAAAATAACAAATAAATCAAAGAAAATAATCTTTTAAATTCATTGAGTTGTATAATGAAGTTTATATTAATTGTTAAAGTTGTACAATGCTATTTATTTATTTTTATTTTATTTTCACACGCATTGAAAAAAAAAAAATTCAGATTAATTTGTCTTTAAATCAATGTTCCATTTTTATTATTTAATCTTTTTTTTTTTTTTATTCAAACTTATTTATGGTGAAGGATTTATCATTTTTAAACTTGAATTTTCTGTCTTCTGATATTCGAATGTAACCTCAATTGTCATTGTTCATGATGATAGTTACCTAGTTGAGATTTTTTATTTCCTTTTTTTTTTCTGAACTGTAAAAATAAAAATACCAATCTTTCAATCTTCAAATCTTCAAATAATCATAAAAAATCACTTCAATACACCATAAAAAGAATTGGGTGTAAATATTACAAAAATAAAAAGTTACATTGAACCAAATTGTGTATTCCTTTTTTAAATGATAAAAAAACCTGTTGTAAAGTAATAAAAATAGTAAAAAATAGTAAAAATAGTAAAAAGTAATAAAAATAGTAAAAAGTAATAATAAAAATAATAAAAGTAAATGAAGAAAAATCATAATTCAGAAAATTCAGAAAAAATAAATAAAAATAATTTTAGTTGTCAAAGCAAAAGGTAAAATTTAAAAATGAAGTCAGGTATCATCTTAAAAGAAAATGTTACCAATTTAATAGGTTAAGATCACCACTGGGCAAAATTAAATTTACGTGAGCAAAGTTAGGGTTAAGGAATTATGTAATTTTGCCTGGTGGAATCACCACCCATTTAATTAATAGAAACTTTTTATTTTATTATTGATTACATAAATGATAAATTTGGAAAACTAGTGATACTTTTAAATTTTAAATAATAAATATAAATAGTATTTGATCTCGATGATTTTATCACAATAAAATTTCTTAACTAATTTCGTATTAAATTTGACATCGGTTTTGTGCTGTCTACTAAAAATATATATATATATATGAAAGAAAGAACCTAGAAAAATGAATTGATTTCTTTGTTTAAAAAAACAAAAAAAAAAAAAAACCATAGAAATTTAACCAGTATTTAAAGCATTTTTGGTATTTTCTGTATTTTCTTTGTTTGAACCAATAATTTATTTTATTGCCATATTTGTAATTTATCATAGTTATCTTTTAAGCATGTATGAAAATCCTATTAAACACAATTGTTTCGCTTGAAACTAGGATGTTTTTGAATCATATAAGTAAATAATCATACAAATAAATTAAATGATTAATATAAATAATGATTTTTAATTAATAAGTGTTAAATAAATAAATGACAAATAATTAATTAAAATAAGATAAACAATTATTAAAATAGAAATTTCAATCACATTTTTTTAACGGATACAAGTATCGACCATGTTTCTTTTTTTTCAATAATTTACGGGAATTCCCTGATTTGTATTGAGTTTTTTACTCGTTTAATGTATTACATACAACGGAACAAATTATACATATCCAGTTACACATAATGTAATAATAATACAATAATAATATAAAAATAATAAATTGGTGTTTAATAACAATAAAGCAAAGAATTTGAATCTGTTATTTAAACCATTAAAAGAAATAGAATTTTTAATTTTAATCTGTTCACTTTTCAACTTATAATTTTTCTTTAATATAATAGTTTTTTTTTTTTTTTTTTTTTTAATTTAAAATTTAAATCTTTACATGTCATAATCATCATAATGATAAAGATTATTGATATTATTCTGGCCGTATCAATTTTGTTAAGTGCAATTTCTGGCACTTTGTCATATTCTTCCGGAAGTAAAGTTTGTTCAGGTTTGTAATGTAAAAGACGATGCCTATTTTCATTTTGGAAAAAAAAAAAATTGAAAATCCATTTCATTTTGAGAAATATACATTATTTAAATTTTTAATTTTTTATATTGTAGTTGACCAGAAAACTCTTGAAGGTGTTTCAAATCAACCTATGGGAAAATCAGTTAATACCTTGGGATATTCTTTTTCTAAGAACTTAAAGTATAAAGCTAGTGGCGATTCTTTAAATATTAAAATTCAAGGAAGTGAGGAATTTAATGGATTGTTAATATGGGCTTTAGATAGTGATGGCAAGAATCAAGGAACATTTGAACTTCCATCGGGCGATTATAAATTTGTAACTGGTTGTGATAGTGTTGTGACACATTCAAGTAATTATTATTTTATATATATATATATATTTTGATTTTATTATATATTTTTATTAAAATTGTCGTTATTGTAATTAGACCCCGGAACAAAGGGAAAATCTGTAACTATTAAATGGACTCCTCCAAAAAAAGATGTTGGTGATATCACGATTAATGCAGCAATAGTCGTTACGTTTAAAGGTTTCGAAATTATCAAAACTACTGTTAAATCATCATCATCTAAATCGACTTCTAAAGCGAAATCCACTACGAGTAAATCACCTAGTTCAGCTGCACCAACTCTAACTGCAAATATTTCGCCAAGTATAACAAGTTCACCGAGTGTTACTAAAAGTGATAATTCTCAATTATCAGCTTCACCTTTGTTATTACTATTACTATTAATTTTGACTACTTTAATTTCTATAAATTTTTAATTTTATTTTTTTATATATATCTTTACACATATTTTTTTTTTCTGGAGCAAAAAAATTCGAGATCTAAAATTTTGCAGCTTAATTACTTTAATTACTGTAGATGACTTGTTAATATAATATATTTAATAATAAATAAATAAATAAATAATATAGATTTTTTTTATGATTTCTTCTAAAAAAAAAAAAGAGTGAACGAAACATTATTTTTAACAACGACTGAAAATATAGTAATTACTATATTTAAATGTAAATATTTATAAGGAGTTAAAGGTTGCGTTCCTATATTTGACTTCAAAAGAAATATTTATCATTAGGATGATGCGATGTTAATGAATTAATGCAAGTAATTATTATTATACTAAATAACAAATAAGATTATATAATAAATCGATCGCAGGCTTAGCTTCTTTGTTTGCCAAGAAATAATTGTTGAACATCATTGGATAAAACTTGATTTTAAAGTAGTTGTTTGTTGTGTGTTTAATAAATAATTATACAGTGTTACCATTTTTTTCTTAATTCCGCTCAATCCGTCTGCTTGCGGCGTCAAACTGAAACGTTTTTTTTTTATTTGGGAAAATTTATAAATAAATAAAATAACAATGAATTAATCATTATAATCGAAAAATTTTTCTTTCAAAAAAAAAAAAAAAAAATAAAAAATAAATTATTATAATATTTTTTATTCAGATTAAAAAATGGAAGGCGATGAAAATGATCCCACGGAAATAGTAGTGGAAAACATAATTACTCGAGACGATGCTAGTGAAAATAGTAACAATAGTAATATTTCTTTTTATATTATTTTTTTTTCTATGGATTCTTAATTTTTTTTTCTTATTATTCTTATTATTTATTATTATTTTCTATAATTTTATAATTTTCTTTTCGGAAACATAATAAATGATAATTAATTAATTAATGAATGAATTAATAATTATTAGGTAACAGTAAAAAAAGATTTCAAAAAATAGCGAAAAAGGTCATCAATGTTAATAGAGTGTTGTTATCAGGTAAATATTAGGGATGTCTGATAATAATTGATAATAATTGTTACATATTAATAATAATAATTTTTTTAATATTTTGAATTAATAAAGAGGATAAAATTTGGTCGATTGGACAAGATCCCGGAATTGATGCAAAACACATAGATTATGATATCCATGTAATATATTCTAATAAAATTTTTAACAAATTCATCTCATCTCTTTATAATCTTTTATAAAAAAAGTTAAATTAATTTTTTTTTTTTTTTAATTTGAAAAGACAAATTGTCGCATTTTCTGTTCAGATTATGGCGAAGGTATAAATTTCTCTTATTTATTTTCATTATAATAATATTATTATTATTATCATTATTATTTATTAAATCATACTTTTTTTTAACACGTCATGTTTTCATATTAACGTATTTCTTTATTATTATTATTGTTATTGTTGTTGTTGTTGTTGTTATTGTTATTGTTATTGTTATTATAATAGAAAAAGCGTTTGAGACTCATAATTTAACAAATAAATCTTTAGGTGATTTTCTACATAAAAAGGTAATAAATAAATAAGATTATTATTTGATATTATTATCTGATACTTAATTTATTCACGTTGTTCTGTATTTATATTAACTATTTAGAGACCAGAAGGAGGCAAAGTTCGGTGGATCAATGTTGATGGAATCTCTTGGGACGTGATAAAAGAACTTGCACTTCGTTACGATTTACATCCTTTATGTGTAGAAGATATCATTCAATGTTCTCAACGTAAAAAATAATAGCTTTTTTTATTTTTTTTTTCATATTTATTTATTTATATTTATTTACTTATATTTATTTATATGTTATATATAGGAACGAAGATGGATCAATATCATAATCATATTTATGTATCATTGATACTCCATATTCTTGAAGAAAATGACGAAATAAAAAATTTGGTTAGAGATGATTCAATTTATGATGGTCAAACAAGTAAAAATGGACGCCAAGATTCACGTATGAGTTTATTAGATCATGGTCATCGCCAAGGAAGTAGTTATTTAGAGGCTCACAGAGCATTAAGAAAGATGAAACTTTCGGTGGTTATTGAACAAGTTAGCGTTATTTTGCTTCCGGATGGTAAATAAAAAAAATATACAACTTTTTTATCATATTTCTCATCACATTCCATTATTCAATTTAATTAATTAAATTTCAAATTGTTATTTATGTATAAAAAAAAGATACGCTTATAACAATTTTTCAACATAGCGGAAAGTCCGTTTATAAGCTAATCCTTGAACGAATTAATCAACCGAAGACGATACTACGATCTTCAAAAGACGCTAGCTTACTTATGGAGGCTGTCATTGACACGATTGTTGACTTGTAAATTATTTAAATTATTATTAGATTTTGTTTTTTGTCGCACTTTCTTTTTATAAAAATTCTGGGGGTTGGGGTTAATTCAGTATTCTTATATGAAAAACATATCTGTCACCCCCCAATACCCAATGCGGACGAGACAAAAAAAAGCAAAACTTTAAATTATCAAAATTATTCAATTCAAAAAAATAGAGCAATTCCGATTATTGATTCTTATCGACATCAAATTTATGAATTAGAAGGAAAATTATTAATTATACCGAAAATGAATTATATGCATGGTAAACAATAAGTTATTTCTATTTATTACTATAAATGCACCCCTGGGGACCAGGGCAATTTTACATGTGGATAGGACTGGGGCTTAGGGTGCATTTAAAGAGGGTTGCACTTATAAAGGGGTGCACTTATAGAGAGTTCAATGTGTTCCATTTATTTATTTATTTTCATGTATTCTTTTTTAGAACTTCATATGATCACTGGAGAATTGACACTTCTCAAAAAGACATTAGCGCCCATAAAAGGTCTAGTGACAATTTTAAGAAAGCATAGTGATGAAAAATCACTTATCACGCCGTTGGCTAAAGTTTATTTTTCAGACGTTTCGGTATGTTATAATAAAAAAAATAATAATCCCACCCCTTTAATATATTTTATGGTTCACGAATGTGACAAAAATTTTAAGAAATTTCAATGATTAAAATTAAGCAATTAAGCCATACTCAAATTTAATATATTTATATTTATTTATTTAGGATCATTGTGCAGATATTGTAGATAATTTGGAGACAATGATTAAAATGGGAGAAAATTTGGTTAACATGGTATTTTACATTTTTTTATATATATTATATTGTTATATTTATTGTTTTTTTTTATATTGTTTTAAAATTATTTATTTTTTTTTTAGATTTTCAACTTAATTGCGTATGAGGTATAAATTATAACAATAAAGAATTATTATTTTAATTATTTTTAATACTTACCCTTTTATTACTATTTTAGACGAATGAAAATATGAAATTATTAGCTTTATTATCTCTAATTTTCTTGCCAATGACATTTATTGCTGGATGTAAATATTTTACATTTAATATTTTACATTATAATTCATCAAATTTATTAACTAATTTCATAAATAATTCTTGATTTTAGACTATGGAATGAACTTCGAGGTCTTTCCAGATCTTTTTAAACCTATAAGGTATATTTATATATTTATTTCATCATTTTCCACTTTCTATTCAATTATATACTAACATTTTCAAATTCTTTTTATATATAAAGTTATTTCTGGTGGGCAACAGGTCTTAGTACAAGTCTGATAGTGGTAGGATTTACTTACCGTTATTGGTCAAATTGGATTTTAAGATTTTGGAAATATTTACAAAATAAAAAATTACAAAAGAAATTAAGAAATTCACATAATTGATATACCAAAATAATTATTATTTACCTTTTTCTTTATTTTATAAAAATTAATATAGTTAAAATAATTATCTTATTTATTTTTATTTTTTTTTATAAAAATAAAATTTAATTAATTTATTTTGTGGTAATGATTTGATTAAGATAATACCACATGGGTTTAGGGTTAGGGTTTGATCTTGGAATTATGTAATTTATGTAATTTTGCCTAGTGTGACAATTATAATAATTAGTTAATTGAACCATTAAAAAAAAATATTGATTAAAAATATTTAAGAGGAGTTCCCTCGTTTTTCATTGTCTCCTTTATTTCGTCATTTTCATTATTTTCAAGCAAATTATTGATAATCTCAGGAACTAGAATACAAGGACCAAATTTGGAGTATACAAATATTCTTCTAAGTCATATGATCATTATACAAGTTCCACAATCCTTCTCTTATCGCCCATAATAATAACAACAACAATAATAATAATAATAAGAATAAGAATAAGAAGAATAATAATAAAGGGATGTTCAATGGCGAACAATATTCGAATACTAAATAACTCGCCCCACGAAATTTATTAATTGGACATTTAATTGTGAAACTTAATTTGTGAAACTCTAATTGTGTAACCTTAACATGTCATTAATCCTGTAATTAACAATTATATCATTGACATTTGATTGTGAATTGTACAGTAATGATTTCGTAATTGTTTTTTTTGGCGGGAAATTCGTTTTTTTTAAATTTAAATAAAAAAAAAGAATGATTAGGGCGTCACTGTGTTTTTGCTCACAGAAAATTGCGTCATTGAGAATTTTTGAAAAAAAAGGGACAATATGTAACTGACCCGGTTTGTTCCTTCTGCATTAAGAACAAATATTATTAGGACTAGAGCTCGGAAATCTATTCTCGGAATTAAAGTTTTTATTACCGTACATTGTGCACGATCATCATTTACAAGTTTAGATAAATTTCAAAAATAAACATAGTGTAACCTAATTTTCTTTTGTCCAACAATAATCTTGATCAATCTTGTAATATTCAAATTAACGAACTTTAATATTTATTTTATGCCTTATCCTTTTTTAGAAAGTATTTAGTATATTTTTAATAAAAAGGTCATCAAAGAATTAATTTTCATCATCTTTTTTTTTTTTTAAAAAAAAAAAGTTCTTCTCATTCTTTAACTCTTTTTCATAAAAAATAAAAAAATGGTGAAGGATGGACAAGGAGGAATTCTTTCAGGAGTAAATCCTGCAAGTTATAGCGAATCAAATCCAATTGTATTATTCATAATACAAGTAATTAATTTCTAAACATTTAACCATCGAAGAATTATGTGAAAATTGATGTTTTCTTTATTACTAAAACTCGTTTTTTTTTCTATTTCAAAGGTAATTCTAATTATAGTAGTCACGCGGGCCATTCATTATTTGTTAATTTGGTTCCGTCAACCGCGTGTTATTTCCGAAGTGGTTGGGGGTATTATACTCGGACCTTCAGTATTAGGAAGAATACCTGGATTTAAGGATCATATATTTCCCAAAGAATCCTTGACTAATTTAAATTTATTAGCAACTTTGGGTTTAATTCTATTCTTATTTATTGTTGGGGTAGAATTAAATCCCAAATTGTTATTAAAAAATGCAAGAATGGCAGTAACAATATCGGCTGCTGGTATCGCTTTACCATTTACTCTTGGAATCGGTGTCGGATATGGATTATATAAATTGATGAATAATGATAGCGTATCATTTGTCACTTTTATATTATTCAGTGGAGTCGCTATGTCTATCACAGTATGTATATATATTTATCATATTTTATCTTTACTTTTATTAAATATTTAATTTTTATATACATTTTTTTGGTTTTGTTTTTTTTATAATAGGCTTTTCCAGTGCTTGCACGAATTTTGTCCGAACTCCAATTACTACGAACACCCGTAGGAATTACTGCACTTACTGCTGGTGTTGGAGACGATATATGTGCTTGGGTATTACTCGCGTTGGTGGTTTCTATCATCAATTCAACTAACAGCCTTAATGCTTTATATATATTTTTAATGGCAATAGGTTGGATTTTAATAGTTGTAATTGCTATACGTCCAATTTTATTAAAACTTGTCATTAAAACTGGCAGTGAAAATGGCCCTTCTTTATCAATGATGGCTATTACATTAGTTTTTGTATTAATTTCTGCTTTTGTCACTGATGTTATTGGAGTTCATTCTATATTTGGTGGATTCATAATGGGTGTGATTATACCACATGAAGGAGGATTTGCCTTAGGAATGACTGAAAAAATTGAAGATATTGTAAATGTTTTGTTTTTACCAATTGTAAGTATTTTCAATATTAATATTTTTTTAATTGTAATTGTTCATTAATAATAATAATAATAATAATAATAATAATAATGATTATGAAAATCTAGTATTTTACGTTATCAGGATTAAAAACCCAAATCGGTCTATTAAATGATGCCAGATCTTGGGGTTGGGTATTCGTGGTACTTATTGTAGCTATTATTGGAAAAGTATCCGGTTGTACTATAGCTGCAAGACTTAATAAATTAACTTGGAGAGAATCTTTTACTATTGGTTTTTTTATGAGTTGTAAAGGGTAAGCATTTATTTGCGTTAATTCTAATCCTTTTTTATTAAAAAAAAAAATTGCTTATTTTTATTATTTTTAATTTTTTTTATTTATTTTCAATTTTAAATTTTCTATTCAATAGTCTTGTGGAACTCATCGTTCTTAATATTGGACTGGATGCTGGCATTATCGATCAAAAGATTTTTGTGATTATGGTTATCATGTAAGTCCATTCCCACAAATATTTATTAAATGTTTTTATTTATTTATTTATTTGTAATTAACATTAAAATTATAATTAATATAATTGATATAATTTAATACAGGGCTCTTGTAACAACATTCATGACGACCCCAATTGCAACATTCCTCTATCCCCATGATTATCAAAGAAAAATGGAAATTGTTCGTTCTAGAAAGAAGAAAGAAAAAAGGGAGAGTGAAGTGATACCCTCTACTGATCTAAATAAACCTGATGGTGGAATTTCTACCTCATTTGATAATAGAAATATGTTAGTGGTATTGAATAAAGTTGAATATCTCCCAGCAATGATGACTCTTGTACAATTATTACAACCTCCCGTTTCTTCAGTTCCGGAATCTTCTGAAAAAAAAGATAAAGTAGTTCCAAGATCAAATCCTTTGACTGTAAATGTTTTACGACTTATTGAATTAACACAACGTATCTCTGCTGTGATGAAATTTCACGAAACTGAAGAAACAACATTACATGATCCGATTATGAATATTTTCCGTTCATTTGGACAATTAAATTTAATTAAGGTTAAAGCTAATCTTGCTGTATCACCTTTACATGAATTTCATCAGCAAGTCTTAGAAAAGGCTGAAGATACTGAAAGTAATTTGGTGATTATACCGTGGGGTGGAGCTGGTGCTTTAATTGATGATCCTTCAAATCCTTTAGAAGAAGTTCTCGGACCAAGACAAAAGAAAGAAACAAGTCCCCAAGTTGCTAATTTTATTCAAGATTCATTTCATTATATAACAAAAATGGCAAATGTGGCTGTGTTGGTTGATCGTGGTCTTGGTATTGTAGCAGAAGATAATGCCATGAATCATAAAGCTTTTCGTGTATTTTTACCATTCTTTGGTGGTGTAGATGATCGAGAAGCATTATCATTCGTTTTACGTTTATTAGAACATCCTAATGTAACAATTTATGTGTTAAGATTAACAAAATCATCAAAACCGACTTCCAATGATGTAACAATGACAAATTCCACATCAAAGGATCAAATCGAACATACCTCTTCAAATAGTGAAAGGATACAGCGACCTCCACTTACACACAAAATGTCAACAGCATCCGGACATGTACTTCGTTCGAAAGTTGAACGACAAGCATCAGACGATGCCGATGATGCTATATTAAAACAATACTTAAAAAATCATAATGTGATTTCATCAAATGAACGTATATCATATGTTGAAGTTAGTTCTGCGACACCTTTACAAACTGCAGTTGAGCGTGGTAAAGAAATAGTTGGTAGCAAGGATTTAGTAGTAATGGGACGTGGACGACAAGCTGCGAATTTGAATCACAGAGAGGAATTTTTAGAAATAGTTAAAAATTTGGGATCATTTGGTAATGATACTCGAAAATCATTGGGTGATGTTGCAGAATCATTTTTAGTTGGAGGAGTTACTTCTAGTATTTTAGTTGTTCAAGCCAAAAGGTTTCTTGACGAAAGTCTAGATGATGTTTAAATCTATAATAGTAAATTTATAAATAGTAGTTTTTTTTTATATGCACTTTATATGTATATAACTATATATAATTAAATTTTTTTATATAAAATTTATTGTATTGCAACAAGATAAAATTTTTGTTGCTTCGCACATATATTTCTAAATTTTGTATTTTAAATGCTTCTAAAAATTTTATTAATTTTATTATATTCTTTATGTATTGCATTATTTCATGAATACTACAATTATCAATTATTAATATTTTTAATTACATAAAATCTAATCTATTTTATTGACCTGAATTAAGTGATTCAATGAAATTATCTAAATTAAGATCTTCATATTGAGTATCATCCCACAGATTTTCCAACCCTTCAAGAATATTCTTTGGTGAAATTTTCTTTCCTTTTGATCCGAATCCACGATTACCAGCGGATGAATTATTCCCACCTTTCTGACTGTTTTTATTATCAGTGGTTACATTGAATAAATCAAGAATTTGGTCAGTGTCCATACTTTGTAATCCAGAATTTTGTTGATTAACAATAGAATTAGCGATATTCAGTTTGAATTTTTGTAATCTGTAAAGGAAAAGTAAATTAATAAATAAATTTAAATTGAATGAGTAAATCGAAAATTGAATAAATTGAATAAAATAATTTAAACATAAATAAGAAAATCAATTATTAATAACTTACCCCATGATTTTTTCTTCAAGTGTACCTTTAGTAATTAATCGATATACATTAACCACTTTCTTTTGACCAATCCTATGAGCACGATCCATTGCTTGTAAATCTTTCATAGGATTCCAATCATGTTCAACAAAAATAACTGTGTCAGCTGCTGTTAAATTAATACCTAACCCACCGACATGTGTTGTTAATAATAAAACATCAATTGAAGGATCTTTATTAAATTGTTGTACTATTGCATGACGTTTGTTAGCATCCACTGAACCATCAAGACGCATATAAGTAACTGAAGGCATGTAAGGTGCAAAAAGATCTTTCTCTATAATGTCAAGCATAGTCTTAAGTTGACAAAAGATAAGAGCCCTATGTTGACTAACAGCTCCAGCACCTAAAGTAGCTTCTTCAGAGTCAGCAGCTACACCGATACCACAATCTAATAACAATTGCCTGGTTGGAAAGTAATAAAATAAAAAATAAAATAAAATGAAGTAAAAATAAATAAGTGAAAATAAAATAGATTCAATAAATCTATAGTTAAAGAATGAACTAAAAAATAGATACTTTAAAGCAAGTAGTTTGGGAGCATTTTCCAAATCGTGTAAAGAAGACTTATTGGCTTTAAGTTTATCCATGACTGTACGATATTGTGGATGTTTGTTGTTAACCACAAGTAAAGGATGATTGCATAATTTACGCAAATATTGTAACGCTTGGAAAATATGTGTCGTTTTCTTTTCTTTCTTCTCATCAACAATATCATCAGTATCAATCTCTGATTCAACAGCGCTCTTTGTTTGAGATTTAGCAAATTGTTCATAAAGTTGTTTCTGTAAATCACTAAGTTCGCAATAATAATCTTGAATGATTTTAGGTGGCAAATCATTCAAGACATCCTCTTTTAATCTTCGAAGTAAGAATGGTAATACTTGCTTATGTAAAGCTTCCAATGCAAGAGCACCTAAAATCGAACATATTCAAGAATTAATATTAATATAACATTTGTGAAATGAATTAAAAAAGTAATATATATATATATATATATATATGTATTTAATTCTAAATTTTAATTACCAGCTTCTTGTTCTTTAGATGAGCTCTTACTATCTCTACTTGCTAATATGGGTTTTCCAAATCTTTCATTGAATTGTTTTTCTGTTCCCAAAAATCCGGGCATTAAGAAATCAAAGAGTGACCATAGTTCTAAAACATTATTCTATTATAAATAAATAAATAATTAACAAAAAAAAATATTTTAGAAAAAAATAATTAATTATTATAAATAAGATTAAACAAAAATAAAATTAACAATAGATAAAATTTGTAATCGATCTAAAAAAAACCTGAATGGGAGTTCCGGATAATATTAGTCGGTGATTTGCTTTCACCGTCTTAACGGCTTTAGTTATCTTTGTTTTTCCATTTTTAATTACATGTCCTTCATCAAGGATACAATAATTCCAATGAATGTTAGACAAGTCATCAATATCGTTACGCACTATATCATAAGACATAATGATTACATCATAACTTGCTAACTTTGGCCGTAGTCTTATAATAAATAAAAAAAAAGAGAGATCAATTAAAATTTATCTAATAGATAATTAAATAATCAGAAAATTATTTACCTGTCTCGGTCTTTGGGATTTCCTGAATATAAGAGAGGTTTCAATGAATCTGTGTAATTTAAAATTTCATGATACCAATGTCCAGTTAATGTAGGGGGACATACTACAAGAGATGGACTATGAACACAATCTGGTGATTTTAAAGCTTTATATTTGGTGGCACGCAAATTATGATCACTGGAAAGAATACATATTGATTGAAGTGTTTTTCCGAGACCCATATCTGCAAAATAAATATTTTTTAAAAAATGTCAAAGATTGTAAAAAAAAAAAAAAAAAATTATAAAAAAATTTCATCATTTTTTTAAAAATATGGAATAACATTTTATTACCATCACATAATATTCCATGTAATTGATATTTATTAAGAAATGCGAGCCAATTAACTCCTTCCTGCTGATATTTTCTCAATTCTGCTTTAATTGTTACTGGAATTTCGAATGGATCAAGTTTCTTACTATCAAGAAGTTGAGAAAGGAATTTACGTTCATCATCTCGATGTCTCAACAATTCGGGTGATAAACCAGGGGGATTGGGAATTCCAGCCTAAAACATAGAATATGCGTTATGAATTATAATTTTTACACAAATAATATTGAATAATCAAAATGAAAGTAGAAAAAATTTTACCTCCAATGGGACTAACTTAATTAACATGGCAAAACAATTGGTGCTAACTAAACGAACATGTTCATTCACATCACTCATTCGACCTAAAATAGGAACAATCAAGAAAATGACATATGGAAGAATTTTTGCATCCATGGTTTGTACAACATCTATAAGAAATAATTAAAACAGAATTAAAAATAAAAATAAAAAACAAAATAACCAAAATTTCGAAATTATGAATTTTAAGAAAATCAAATATATTATACATACGATATATCAATTCTGCTGCCCCTTGACGATGTATAACATTCTGTGAATTCCCTAATAAAGGTATCACTTTATCTATTATTATTTGCATACAAGGAATAGTAATAGTGTCTGCAATGGTGGCGAAGCATCGAGCTGCCATCGATCGAATTACTAAATATTGACACTGGGCAGCTTTTATTATACGAGGAAGAAGTTCTGTTATCTGTAAATAAATAAATAAATAAATATTAATTAACACATTTATATGTAAAATAATAATAGAAATTTTACAAAATATGATTAAATTTAATAAATATTCACTTTTGAATGCAAAGTTTCATGAATTACTGGTATCAAGGATTGCAATATTTGAAGAGAGTCAATAACATCTTGTCCCAAGCTGATATTTGATTTAAGTGTCGAATTTATTTTATCTTCGTCCTCTTAAATATGGATATGAATATGAATGTGAATATGATATTAGTTATTTAATGTGAATTAATTAATTTAATTAATTTAATTTAATTTATTAAAAAATCAAATTTACGTAATATTACAAAAAAAAAAAATTATAAAAGATTCCATACCAAAATTAAATGTATTTTCTAATGAAGAATGCATGCACACCCATAATTTAGGAACAATATCAAATAATTTTGAACCAAACTGTGTAGCAAATTCTCTAAGGGTTATTTCTGCTCCACGTCTTATTAGAATTTGTGATTTCAATTTTTCATCTTCTCTATTAAGAGAATCATTGTTGGTTGATGATTTTTCTGGTTCCTTTGCTTTTTGCAATGATAATATACCTTCTTTTGAACGATTAGATTGTAATTCTGGAGTAGTCATTGGATCTGAACAAAGAAATGTGCATAAATTTTTCACTATCTTATCGTTAGGATTCACTCTTATTGTATTATCCTCATATGAACAAAGTTCAACAAGGCTAGCTAAAGTAGAAGCAGATCGTTTCTGTAATTCAAAATTTTCTTCTGATTTTATTGAATTCATAATAGATCTGATTACAGGATTAAGCTTGGAAGGTAATACTCGTAATGCAACAACTGCTCCGGCAATTGCAGCAAATACAATTGTATCATTTTTTTGTTTTGAAGCTTCATAATAACCAATTGAAGATACCACTCGACGTTGACGATCTTGTAACTGAGATTGTGTATCATCATTTGAAGATCTCCGATTTTTAACAGATACATGAGATAATAAATTATTAAAAACATCAGTTGAAAATTCTGCAGCTATTTCTATTCCGAACAAAGAAGTTGAATTGTCTGTTTGAATTTTTTCTCCAAGAACATATGTAGGTAATGGAGGAATGATATCGGAATTAACTTTGCCAACAGATACAAATGTATTAAGCATTGCTTGACATTCCCCTCGAATACGACGAAGAATAGAAACAAGTTCTGAATAAAAACTAGGAGGATTAGATTCCAGAATTGAGATCATGGCATTAGATAAAATTGAGGCTAAAGGTAAATTTTGTATTAATGAAGATTGGTTATTTTGCGGTTCTTTTTCCATAACTGATCGTGACCATTCTTCGGTAATTACAGCAGCTAATTGTTTGCTTAATGCCCATGAAGAAGAAAGGCAGTTTATAATATATTCTTTAAATGTGGATTCTAAGGACTAAATTATAAAATGATTTATAATAAAAAAAATTGTTGAAGTCCATTTTTTGAATAAGGAAAATTAATAAAATAAACGAAATAAACCACGAAAGTAATCATACCTCACTTGGCCAACAACTCATTAACATTCCTAATCCTTTAGAAGCAATAACTCTTCCTCTTAATATAGTATCCACACTAACCAGTGCAAAATCTTGTTGCAACATTCCAGTATCAATACTATAGCCACCAGATGTTACAGCAATATCACCACCATTATTATTACGATTCGAATTCCTTCTTCTTGAATTATTTGATGGAGATGTTACTGTTATAGGAGTTGTTTCCATTGGAATCGGTCCATCAGGAATATAAAATAATCGACGCTCAATTGGAGTACCTAAAGGTGTCATGACTATTGAAAACCATGATCCGATATGTTGAGATGTGAAATTAAAGAGTTTATTCTTTTCAACGGGTTTTGATACATGTGAAAGTAATCTTGACCAAACTTTTAGAGAAATATAAAGAACATCCTAAAAAGGAGAAATATAAAACATACGTTATGTTAATTTCAAATTTTCATTTCATGTAAAATATATATCAATGATCTTTTTTTTTTTTTACGCACTCTTTTTTCCTCAACAATAATATTTTGAAACACAAGACTAAAAGTACGATGATCGACCCATTCTTCTACTTCGTCCATACCCAAAAATGTTAGCAAAGTATTGAGTACCGCGACTCGTACAGATGTAATGGTATGACGGAAAAATGGATATAATCTTGGTATTAAAGTAGTTAAAGAATGACTGAAATCATATTTATTTATTTATTTTTATATAAATATATGATAAATATAAATAAAATTTAGTAATTTATATGACACAGAAAGTAAAAATTGAATTATTATTCATATTATTATTATTATTATTATTAAATCTACCTTTGGTCAGATGCAGCAGCCTCTCGCATATATTCTAATACGGTAGGAAAAGAAAATAATTTTGCTAAAAAATCCATTACACTAGCTGTGGAAGCTGTCAAATCATCTTTAAGATCCTTAAGACAATCCCACAACACAGTTACAATTTCGGGTATTTTATTTGGAGCAAGTTGGACAAAATAATCCGCAATTGGTATTAAAATAGAAGCCGCTACGGCTCGAACATCATCGTCACTGTCTTTTAAACTTTAATAAAATAACATAAAATATAACATAAAATAACGTAAGATAATAAGATAAAGAATATAAAAATTAACTTCATAGTCATTCTTTTTTTACAAAAATTTAAATAATAGTAAAAAAAAATGATTTAAAGACATACCCTTCTATAACCGCATCCACTGTACCATTTAAAATAGTATTTACAAGATCCTTGCGTACAGCGACAGTATATTTTAATCCTAACATTCCTGCATGTCGAACTTCCCATATTGACATCTTATTATCATTCGAATCTATTTGATATACCATCTGCAATAAAACCTTATGAACATTTTCTACACCTTCAGACGACATATAACGAAGAAGGGCACCCATTGTTTGTGAACATGTTTCTCGTACAGGTGCTACGACCTTTACAATAAAAAGAAAAACGTTTTAAAATTCGAAAAATATAAAAGTAGTTATACTTCTAAAGAAAAATATATGTGATAGATTCCAACCTGATCTGAAACAAAATCCCCGAAACGATCAAGTGCAAATACACAAAGCAATCGAATAGCTACGTCTTCCAACCATTTATGATGTCTAATTTCATTATCAGATTTAGTCAATCCAACTTAAATAAATTAAAGAAATAAATGATTATTAAAGTCATATTAAAGTTTTCTCTTTAAAGAAAATTCCGTATATAATTACCCCGACGTCCAGCTCCATGTCCTTGAACTTTCAAAATCTCCCTTAAACCAATACATGCACCATGTCTGACTTCCCAACAAGGACTTTATAAATATTATAAATATTAGTCTTCAGATTTATTCTACGAAAAAAAATGTACCAATTGTATATATTGTATATAGTAAGCAAGGAAACTTACTGAAATAAAGCAACACATAACGATTCACAGACATTTTCAAATGGCCATTCATTATTTTGATCTTCAAATGCATTTGAACCTTCTTTTTTAGATTCAACTACAATTTTACCAGAACATGGTTGTGGTGTAATATCATATGCACCGTCCGATTTCCCTAATTTTTAAACCCACTTAGACATTACTTGATACAATACATTACTTTATACATTACAAATATATACTAACCATCTCCTTCGATTTTGATAGATGGTGATACTGGAGTTGTAACTGCTCCTGAGAATTCTCCACTAGTTCTTCTATTGTTAACTTCAACAACTCGCAATCTATATAAAAAAAATAAAATAATAAAAAAGATAAACAATACTATACTACATTATTATAATTATTATTATTATTATTATTATTATTATTAAGATATTTGACGCACTTTTCTTTTCCTTTGTTCTTTGCTTCAGTTTTTGCTTTCCTCTTCAGTTTATTTCTCTCTCTAGCACTCAATCCTGACATATCTTCTGTATTCAAAACAGGAGAACGTGGTGGTTGCGGTGCAACATTTTCAGCCTTAGAATTTACATTTTGTTGTGTTACAATTGAACTGTTGATGTCCATATCATCAAGCAAATCAACTTTAGAAATAAAAGAAAGAAATAAATTAAAATATTTACATAATAAATATAATTATGAATTAATCATAAATTTTTATATCAAAATTACTTTACCATCCATGAATTCACCACCCAACCCTAATCTTTCTCTAAGATTTTTATGTTGTAAAGCAAGCCTTTGCGCTGGGTCAAGATCACTTAATTCAAGGTCATATTCCTAAACAAAAATAATTTCAAATTTATTAATAAAAAATATTAATAATAAGATAAGAGACACGAGTTATGAAATTTTGACCTAACTCACCTTCCCTGCTGATCCCAGTAATGTTTTTCCATTTTGCAATACATTCGCAATTTCAAAATTATTAAATGAATATTTATTATTATCCGATTCATTAATAGTAGGTAATTTTTCGTTTTCGTTTTTAATAACTAAGATAAAAAAAAAATCCAATTAAAAAAAAAAAATCGGTGAAAATTGGTAAAAATTAATAAAATTAATATGATAAAAATCCGAGATTTACCTTCTGGAGGATCCCATTGTGGAACGTTTTTTGCAATGGATTCGATCGCTTGACCCGCAGCAATACGGGTATCCCATTCTTTATTGCTCAAGTGAACCACAACCTGGTAAAGATATACACAAAGCCCTTACTCTTTGAGTATATGCTGAAGTTTTTTTTTTTTTTTTTTACGAAGCACCAAAAAATTATATTTATTGAATTACGAAGAAAACAATAAATAAAGTTCAGAAATGCACCCTTGATAATAGATTATGCAACTCTCCGGGGTGCTGCTTTTGAATTTCTCCCAATTGCTGCGCGGCTGTTAATCGAACTGCTGGAGTAGAACCCGTATCCAGTAGGAGGACCAGGCGGTCCAGTCTTTAATCAACATTTTCAAAAAAAAAAAATAATTAATTTTTTTACTGTAAAATCCAAAAAAAATCTTGAAACGAGTGTGTTTTGGTAATAAAACTTGCCTTGTCGCCATTTTTAGATATCCAAAGCAGGGGACCGATTATTTAAAAAAAGTAGGGTATGATAGGCGGGGAATTTTTTTTTGTGAGCGGAATGCTGGATCTATATATATTGTTTAAAGATCACATTTGTACAGCCACAGATATTTTTACCATCATTTATTCCGATTCGGAATAATTAATCCGGAATAACCCCAACAATTTGGTCCCATGATGAGTTTAATAAACATGCTGATGTGATCAATCAAGAAGAAAATGATTACATGTACTACTCACTACCCCAGCATCACCAACAGATTTTCACCCCACGTGTGAGCAAGGTTAGGGTTTATCAGGCATGTGTCACACCTTTCGAATAATTCGTCACCAAAATGTACGTGGGTTACTACAAGCGAATCGTGCCATTGAGCAGTACTATTAAATCCTGTGCGGTTTTCAAATTTTGTGCTAGCGTATACTATATTATTATAAAAAACGACATTGCCAATGGTGTTCAACACCAGTGTGATTATCAACCAATAAAAATAAAATATAACGTGTAAAAAAATATATTCGAAGGGTGACACATGGTGATAAACCCTTGAAAAACCCTAACCCTGCGGTATAGAATGTTGTACGCATAATTTGTGATACATGTACTTCCAAAAGGCAAGACCCCATCGAAATCAAAAAAAAAAATAAAATAAATCATTAAGATATTCAAGCTTAAATCCCTAAAATCCTTAAAATGATCCTTATTAATAAACTGTCTGACCTCAAAAAACTTTATTGATCTACTTTTCAGAAAAATTGAGAACAAAGCTAATATATACTCAGCTAAATTAAAGGTCTTGCCTTTAGTTATTTATTGCAAATTATACAAGTTATATACTAAAAATTTACATATCTAAACTGAAGGGGTGAACCTTTAAAAGTACAAACCCCAAAACAAAGAGAAGCTATTATATCATATATGTAAGAATTAATTTTGTTAAAAATAAGTTCAAATTTGCATTAAAATATTGACATTTAAAACATTTAAAACATTTAAAACATTATAAAATATTATAAAACAGATAGCTTCATTTTATTTTTTTCATTGATAATTGTAATCGAATAGAGATGAATGTTTATTAAATTGTTTTCTCAATAATTTATGAAACAACACCCGAAGGAGTATTATAATTCATAATATACAAGGGATCGCTTTATTATTTATGCGGTGTAATGTGTTGTAACAGTTTAATCAATATTATTATGAAAATAATTTAAAGGGGCTCATCCGTATTTGGAAAAGAGTAATAACCAATATTGTAATAACTAATAATAACTAAAATTGTAAAAAATTGTTCTTTTTTTCAAAAAAATTTAAATTTGTAAAAAAAAATCTATCTGAAACGCTAATTAATTGCTTTATACTTGGTCAAGTGGAGCCGAAGCATAATCCTGACCATTTTGGTTAATTTGAAAACTCGATCCTGTATCTCGTTTAACATAACGTTTCTTGTCACTTTCAGCGAGAAGTACACCATCAGGATCACAATTTAGATTGAGATCATCAAGTCTTGTTGAAAATGGCAATGTTCCGTCGTTTCGAAATTTAACATCTAAAGCTGATGTCAAATTATAGAGAAGCTTGCCGCATTTATCGACAAGAAGGAAATCGTAACAATTCTTTTCAGGGTCGACAAGGCCGTCACTGAAGAGACCAGTCACAAGTGTTGAACCACATTCATCTTGTGCAAAGGTGACTATACCAACTACTGTGGAGTTAAATGTTGCTGTAGCAACAGTACAGGGACAAGTGTCGTTTTTTTCGTAATCGTGACGCTTAAATAATTCGGTAGAACGTTTTTCGTAAGATTTAGCATGACAATGAGCATCTACCGATAAGATTATAGAGAGAATAACGATGCTTAAAGTGAAAATAAATTTCGTGTTCATTTTTATTATTATTGTTGTAGTAGTTACAAGAGAAAAATATGCTTAATATTCTTTATATTTCGTAAAAAAGTTGAAAAGCGAATTTTTTTTTTTGTATTAAGAAAAGATGTTTTTCGCTGTGGAAAGGGAGAGAAAATGTACTCTTTTTATATTCTTAATGAATCTTTGTGTTCTTTTTTTTAGGTTCAAACATTTTCATTCATAATAAATTATTTAAATAATGAAACTCCTGATTCTACAGTACTATACAATATAAATAAAGTAATTATTAATTATAAATAACTTACATAATAATATATATATATTTTTACATATTTATTTAAACATTGTTCAAAAAAAAAATAATCAACCTATTTTTAACATATACACGAGAAGTTATTTTTTTTAGAAATATTGAAATATTTGATTGTTAGATGTTTTCACCCGAACAAAGTTCACTGAGCTCAATTCAACATTACTTTGAATGAAATTACTTATGCATCATGCTCGAATCATAGAAAAATGACTATAATTTTACTAAAGCGATAGATCAGTAACATTTTCGTTCGTATAATGCCTGAATTTTTCTATTATCATGTCATATCATATTGTTAATCAAAAATAAACGCCACGGAGTTAACATAAAAATCGACCAAAAATAACTACGTTCTAAAAAAAAGAATCCTTCTTTTAGAATTATATTGTTTGGATATATAATTAAAAATTTTTTTTTTCAAAAAAAAAAAAGATAGATACTAAAGTAAATTAGTAAACATTAGTAAACCCAACCCAATTTTTTTTACCTTTACCATTAAGATAAGTTAGCCAGTATTATATTCATCACAAGGGTGAAAATTAAATTATTGAAATTAATTATTTTGATCTTTTAATTTATGATTTCGATCTTTTGTAAAACGTAATTCATCTTAGAATGGATTAAGATTAGAAGATTACACGATTCGTGTTCACATTATAACCTATTATATGTTCTAACATGTTCTAACATGTTCTAATATGTTCTATTTTTATATAATATATATTGTAAAATATATATTGTAAAATATATATTACAAATATATGTCATCATACTGTGTTCAATGTTTATTTATGTTCCATGCAGAAATGTTTTAATCGTACAAATCGGATAGCCAAAAATAAATGAAAATAACAAAAATAAATGAAAATAACTAAAATAAGATTATGCCGAGGAAACTTTCTTTTTTCTTCACACTCAAATTCTTTTCTTTATTGCTAATACCATTCCGGTTAAATTAAATGTCCTTATAGAAAATTTAATTTAATTCTTGATTTATCAATAATTAAATTTATTTAATTTATTATCTTAATTAAAAATACTTTTACATTCCTTTGTTCTAACTCGTTTAAGTATTAAATCATAATAAATAATTAGAAAATTGCTAAAGCTCACCACCAGTGATTGTTATCACTGGGTAAAATTAAAAATTATGTAGGCAAAGTTAGGGTTAGTGGTGACAATTACCGGTGGTGAACTTTAGCAATCCCAAATTATACAATGAATGAATAAAAAATTAGTCATTGCTACACAATGAACAATTTGCATTATTGTAAAATTATATTTTCCTTTCTGTTTTCCTTTCTTTGTTTTTTTAAAGGTCATGTAATTATTGCATTTCTCGGGTCACACTAAAACTAAACAAATGAAATATGGCTACGCAATTTATGATTTATGCCTGTTAACAAATTTTAAGATAGATGATATTTTCACAGTCATTGACTTTTCTTAATGAAACCTTTAATTAGGCGAAGCCTCTATTAGATTTATAACACGAGGCTTTGCCAACGTGAATTTTGATGAATAACTGTTTTTAGGAAGTTAGTATGATCTAGTAAATCGTATCTAGATTTATTATATGTAATACCGATTTTTTTTTTAATTTTGACATCTATGATGTTTTCTAATGGCTAAAAAAATGCGCACGTAAATTACTTGCATTATCTTCAATGACTATTTGAAATGACGTTTATCGTACAGTGACGCGTTTTTTTTCTTAATTAGATTTTATGAACCTTTTTTTTTTTTGTGCTTGGGAAGTCCATGGTTCATTGTTCTTTCCTCATTTATGATCTTTTATTGTGAATTTTTAATGAGATAATTATGCAGAAAACTTTCTTTTGATGACAATGATTTGGGAAATAATTTCACGAAATTAATAAAGACCAATAACAAAATTTTATATATTATATAACATAGAAATTATCAAGGTCATAATTTTAAAAGTATTATAAATTCAAAAACTTTAATTCATTTAACTTATAAACAAAAATATTGTTACCCTTTAAAAATCGGATGGCTGCGAAAGGTGATGAAAATGAAAATATTTATCTCGAAAACAAAATATAATTTCATGTACATTAACCAATCGAAATTGGTGTCAAATAGCTGTACCATAGAAACTGCTTTGTTTGTTCCGATTTTTCCATTAAGGTTAAAAAAAAAACCGTGCCCAATTATTGATATTATTGTTCCAGCATATATTCATATATTGGAACGCGCGTCAAAATATTCAACATATAGCATCAAACTCACCAATCAACATATTTTCTTTTCCAAAAATTACGAATTTTCATAACTCGACGGATTTGGTACGCCGCCGCAACAAAGTCGTTTTCACTACGAGTTCAAAAATGTATTCGAATAGACTTTTGTTGATAATAAATTAGGATGCTATGGTTGTCCTCAGAATTTTTTATTTATTTTAGATTTGCGAAATATTTTTTGATGCTCTCGTCACTGAGATTTTTAATGAAAAAATTCTTTTCTTCATTTCCATTCCAACAATTAAAAATTTGAGGATTGGAATTCACGAGATGCTATAATTTCGTACCAGATATAACTTCACATATTTAATAAAAATTCACCGTTTATTCTGAAACACCTTCAAATATTATTAATTCAAGCTTCTTTACATCAATTTTATTATGAATATAATTTCATCTGTGTTTGGAAAAGAATATTCCTAATATTGTAATAACTAATAATTAATTTTTGATTGGATATAATACAAATAACTAAAATGCAAAAATTGTTCTTTTTTCAAAAATTTTAAATTTGTATCTGAAACTCTAATGAATTTACTTTATACTTGGTCAAGTGGAGCCGAAGCATAATCCTGACCATTTTGGTTAATTTGTAAACTTGATCCTGTATCTCGTTTAACATAACGTTTCTTTTCACTTTCAGCGAGAAGTACACCATTAGAATCACAATCGAGGTTGAGGTCATCAAGTCTTGTTGAGAATGGATATGTTCCGTTTTTTCGATATTCAACATCTATAGCTGATGTCAAATTATAGAGAAGTTTGCCGCATTTATCGATAATAAGGTATTCGTAACAATTCTTTTCAGGGTCGACAAGGCCGTCACTGAAGAGACCAGCCACAAATGTTGAACCACATTCGTCTTGTGAAAAGACGACTATACCAACTACTGTGGAATCAAATGTTGCTGTAGCAGTAGTACAGGGACAAATGTCATTATTCTCGTAACGCTTAAATAATTCGGGAGAACGTTTGGATAGGCTTTTACAGTTAGCAGATGCCGATAAGATTATAGAGAGAATAACGATGCTTAAAATAAAAATAAATTTTGTGTTCATAGTAGTAGTTATAAGAGAAAAAATATGCTTAAGATTCTTAAAAAAAAGTCGAAAAGCGAATTATTATTATTATTATTTTATATAAAGAAATAATGTTTTCACTGTGGAAAACGGATTGCAGAGAATAAAAAATGTACTCTTTTATATTTTTTAATGACTCTTGTGTTCTTTTTTTGGTTCAATCATTTTCATTTTTATAATAAAAAATAGATCAAAAATAACTACGTCCTAAAAAGAATCCTGCTTTTATAATTACACGTTTGAATATATAATTAGAATTTTTATTCAAAAAAAAAAGGGATAGATATTTAAAGCCACATCAAGTATCCAAACCAATTTTTGTTACCATTGATGTTAGCCTGTATTATATTTATTACAAGAGTGAAAATTAAATTATTTGATCTTTTAATTTATAATTCGATCTTTTCTGAGTTGAGAACATATAATTTGTTCTAATTTGTTCTATTTTTAATTAAATATATTATCAAATATGTCATCATCCGATTTATTTAAGTTAAATCGGATGCCAAAAATAAAAATTCAGATGAAAGAAATAACAATTTATCTAAAATAAGACTATGCCGAGGAAAATTTTCTTTTTTTTCTTTAATTTAAATTCTTTGATCTATCAATAATTTAATTTTATTATCATAATTAAAAATATTTTGTTCTAGTACAACTCCTAACTTGTTTAAGTATTAAATCAATTATTTAATGTCAGAAATATATAAATAATTCCATTCAAAGGTTTATGTAATTATTGCATTCAAGTAAATTTCTCGGGTCACATTAAAAATGAGATATGGCTATGCGACTATACCTGTTAACATTGGCTAAATTTCATTGTGGCGTTAATAAAGCCCATAATTATACAAAACCTTCTTAACGATTACAAAAAATCCTAATATTAATATAAAATATAAAAAAAATATGAGATTAATTAATTTAAATTAATTCATGTTTTTGATGAAATAAGTCAATGGCTGTGAAAATATCATCTCTTAAAATTTGAATCGTCAGATTTTAATCTTTAATGAAATCAAAACAAGATAGAATGAATTTCATTTTAAAAAAATGCTTGTAACTTTCAATCTTGATTATGGAATAACCTTTTGAGTCATAACGAAAAATGGTCCTCGCAAAATTTTACGTACAAAACCTATTTTTATTCATAACTTTAACCTGACTCTTAACCATTGTGGTTTTGGCACCATGATGCGTTTTAAAATTTTCAATAATTAATATAATTAATATTACAATTAAAACAAAGTATTGGAAAATTCAGGAAATTCAGGAAATCTGGAAGATTTAAGATAATTGTAGCTCAATAATTTTCTTAAGTGGGAAAAACCTTTAATTAGACGAAGCCTCTATTAAATTAGTACGAGGCTCGGCCAAGTGAATTTTTATGGAATTAGCTGTTTTAGGAAAGATCTAATACTGATGCATTAACAATCAATAATAGCTTGAACCATTGCTTTGTTAATATATATGTTTCCGATTTTTCAATTAAACATTCCTAAAATTAATAATGATTATGTCACGTTCTTCGTACAATTGTTGTCAATAGAGTGTTTGAAGTAGCTTCTCAGTAGTTTAATGGTTTAAAAAGAATTGTGTTACTGATATATTGTTCATTATATTTTCCATGGAATATACGCCGCCGCAGCAAAAGTCGCGAAAAATATTCGCGTTTTACGATTTTCACTTACGAAGAAATATCCTCTCAGTCCAACAACTATTAATAATATTTCGCATCTCGTACGAGTTCAAAATCTACTCGAATAAACTTTCCGTTGATAATAAATTAGGATGTTATTGTTGTCTTCAGGATTCTTTTTTGCTTTAGATTTTCGATGCTCTCGTCACAGTTTGCCCTTTATCATACATTGAACTTTATAATGTAAATTTCTTTTCTTCATTTCCATTCCAACAATCAATAGAAATTAATTGAGGGTGATTTCCCATTTTCTTGAACATAATTTTCCAAGTGAAATACTTTTTTTTCAGTCTCGTACATTTTGAAATTTGGTACAAGCATTCGATAACAAATAGGACAAATTTAAAAGTATTATGAATTGGTGTTTCAAGAATTTCTAAAGGGTTAGTTTATAACTTTTGAATTGGCAATAATATACTGTATATCGATATGTATATATATATAAATAGTCAAAAAAATATGCACATTTTTAACCGTTCACGTGATAACGGAATATCATAAATTTATATACTTTGAAATATAGATATTTCCTAATAATTAAAAACAAAATGTACTAATTTTTTTTTTTTTGAAAATTAAAATTATCAATGAATAAGTAAATAACGCAAGATTTTAATATTAAAATTTTTCTAACCTAAAAATCTAAATAAAGAAAAATTATATATAATGAATTCACCAATCAAAATATTAACATATTTTATTTCCCCCCCACAAATGTTCTCAATATTAGTAAATAATATTTTATCAAGGTATTATTTCTTGAAAGCTACCTCTTGAACTTTTTTTTACCAAGTTATTTCTTTCACTATTTCTTTCGTTTTCTTCTTTGACATCAATTGAATGTGATAATGATTCGTTTGAAGTGTTTGAAGTGAAATTTCTTTCACCTAGTGTATGAGATGGTTGAAGACCTCCAAATTCCTCTCGATCCTCTTGATTCTCTTGACTCTGTGGACTTACATATTCCAAAGTTCCATGTCGACAAAGATTTATTGCTTGATATAATCTGCCAACAATATTTATTAACAAGTTAAGACATGAAGAGACGAGTGTAAGAATAGGGATTATATCATATGTAACCACACTTTGTTGGTATAATATCTAAAAGTATTGAAAATTTTTATAATTAGAAAACAAAACAATAATAATAATTTTTTTCATATAAATAAAAAAAGAATTTGAAGACTGACCTGAATGATCACTTGCGGTATATCTTCAAGAAAAATGTTTAAACAAGAAGCCCAAAAGATTCTCTCTTTTCCAATTTTTGAAAATGGAGCCCTGAAAAATTCAAACCCGGCCATATTTGAATAGAGAATACTTAATGCTTCAATGTCAGCGCCTGCTAAAACTGTAAATACTGATGCCACCTTTCCATGTTGAGAGAACCAATCAAAGAAATTTTTATATGTTTTTTCAGATTTGCTATCAGGGTCACTAACAATGTATTCGTTTACAGGTTTTTCAGCTCCATTTTTTTCAGGTTTGCATTCCTCAATGATAATATAAAATGCCCAAACAGTGTTGACAACAATTGGAACAGTCAAGAATATTACACTATTTATAATATATAAAATTATAAAATTATATAAGTATTTAATTAATAAATAAATGATAAGTAAATATAATATAAATATGGAAATATATATATTCAAATATATATTAATTAATAAATTTACCTTGGAATATATAATACTTCAACGGTTTTACCATTGTTACTGACGAAAAGGGTATCCATTACAAAATCGAAAAGAATTAATCCAAGTTGTAAAACAGCCATGTTACGACCCTTTGAGAGAATTTAAATAATGTCAAATTTCCATTTTTTCAATAATATTAAATATACTAAACAAATAAGATATCTTTATTTTTTTTTTTTACCTTGCTTTCTTTTTTTTGTGCTAATAAGAAAAGAATCACTAAAATTCCAAATGCTAATATAACACCCAAAAATCTGAACTTGTATTTATCCCATAAGTTTTCTAATGAAAAAGAAAGAGTGATTAATAATGATAACATGTTAAATAAGTTAAAAATTCAAATATATACTCACCTTTTGGTACAAATCCATAATCTTCATCTAAATAACTTGTGGTAGAGGATAAACCAATGGAAGTTATACTTTTATATTTAATCATATCATTTAAATCATCTATGATAGATTGTACGCTTCTTTCTTCAGTGGATGATTGGATAGTAAGTGAAATGAATATTGGATGATCAGGACTAATAGAACTATCAACTTGGATTTTCTGATTTGAATTTAATCGCTTAGAATCAACAGGAAGAATTTCAGATAATTCAGTTTGTAGATCGTGAAAGAAATTCTCTTGTCCAGTTTTATCAAGACTTTGGAAGTAGTTGGTACCATTTGTAGTTAAACGCATCACTCCAGATGTTGTGGCTATTGTAGAAATTTACAATACATTTTAAGTGATTTTATATTAAACATACACATAATAACACTGAAATTTACCTGCAAAAGAATCATCATTTGAATCTAAAGACCAGGATATAAAGAGTGAAAGATATTTAGTATTTAAATTAATAACATAATAATAAAATAATATTATTTACATACTTGTATTGAATTTCCAAATATTTTCAGATATACCAATTAAGGGTTCACCGTATGATTTGCTTTTTACAAAATTATTATCAACTTTAATATAAAATTGGCTATAAGAATTACTAAAGACACTTTTGATAACGTTTATATGTACAGTTAATCCATCATCAGAGATGGAACAATACTCTTTATTTTTGCCATCAACATATTGTCGAACAATGTCTTTGACGCTAGTATTACTAACTTGATAGATCCTAATATACCCATCAGAAAGTTCTACTGGTTCATAATATGTGATTGTAATATTACTCATTCCCTTGGTAGGGTTAATAGTAGCATTAATTGGAGGATTTGTAGTCTTTACTAGAAGATTTGAATAACCATTGTCCGAATATTTCGAGTATTTAGGAATATCAGTGGTAAGAAAACCCCACGTATCTGTAGATTCTACTTGTGATACTAACAAAGTATTATTAGGTAGAATAAGCAGAATTCCTCTCAAATTTAAAACTGTTGGCTCAGGAAGATCCCATTCAATAGGATCAGGTAAGAGTTCGTCAAAATAGTATACATAAGCATTTGTCTGGCGGGTTGAATTATTTATAAAATAACCACGGAATAAATAACCACCATAAGGAATACTTTCTACCTGCCATCCTGTAGTACTATTTGACGGTAATTCGGGTAAATTTCTGTTTATCGGGGTGACTTCTGTAACAGAGCCAGATGATAAGAAATTAAGTCTCACATAATAATTTTTGTAATTTGTAGAATTAGTATCACTGCTCTGTCTGACGTTGAGTGTACAAACTTGTCCAACCCCAGTACTTGAAATACCACAAAACAAATCGTCTATTGAAATATTAGATAAAGGTATTTGATAAAGTAATTTTGGCGCACTAAATTGTGTTTCATTATATCCTATCGTTAAATCATACAATGCTGCATGATATATCAAAGGATTGGAATCGGTGGCGTTGGTGGAATTTCCAATAATTATGCTATAACCTTCATCAACATTAGCTATGGTATTAAATTGTGCCGAAGTTCTATTTTCTAGGGGAAATGTAATATTTCCATGTGATAACTTTATAAGATTGAATGAATCATCTCTAAAAATAAATTAAAATTGAAAAATTGTAAAATCTTATAATATCAACCATATCTCACAGTATAAAAAAACAACTCACATCATATATTGTTGCCACTCAATAAAAGATGCATTCCTTCCAGTTATCCTTATAAAACCTTTTGATGGATCAATGTTAGTTATTATCGCCGTTCCTGTTGGGTACCATATACCATTTTCAACGTAAGCCCCCCCGAAACTTACTTCACTTTATAGTTTAAAAATATATTTTTGAATAAAAGTAATAATAATTGTCATTGTTATTAAAGATAATATGATGTAATATGATATGATTATGATAGAATTATTGAAAATATTTACCTATATAAATTGCCATTCCAATCAATAATACGTCCACATTCTTGATAAGTTGTATAATCGTCTGAATTTGAAGCATTAAAGTATCTAACAAGTATGAAGCCCTTATGAAGCGCGTATATACTTATAGGGTCCATGTAATCAATACCAGAAGTTGTTATGTGCCAATTAAATTCTTCAATTTTTAGGTCTTTGTCTATTTCACTGACTGTTCCATTGGGATGAATAATACGTAAAGATAACACTGGTCTTGTCCATACTTCTCCAGAAGATGAATTTTTATCACTATCCCTATTAATAATTCGAATAACTGCTGTCCCATCGGAATATTTCCCTTTTTGCCACATCCGTGGGGGATTTGAATATGAATTCGTTTCAATATGTGTAAAAGTCCCAGAACCTGATACCGAAGACGTCAGAGAAAAAATTGTTATCCACGTTATTAGCAAAACTATCAAATTTAAACTTGATCGTATCATTATGATGATGATAGAAATTTTAATTTATTTTTTAAAAACAATGGTAAATTTTGTAAATTCCGGCCCGCGAAAATTTAGCATCAAACTTTTTTATTTTTTGCTTTTGACGGAAATGAGCGATAGGTACTTTTATCTAATGAATATGAGAAAAAATTTTGGTACACTAAGTTGTTTATAAGTTATAACCACTGATATCCTCTAAAAAATATTTTCTTTACAATATTTGAGATAATATTTTAAGGAGACAATATTTTAGAAAAATAGATATTAAATAAATAAATAAATGGTCGCATATTTCCCCCCTTTTTTTCTCAACCCTATTTGTGTTTTTAAAAAAAAATATGTACTTTCCAAAAATAAAAACGCCCTTTGACGAATTGTAAAAAAATTTCTTATATTCGTACATAATGATTTCTCCTCAAGATATCCTTTTTTGGATCTAAACTAAAATTATTTATACAATTGATTTAATTTAATTTATTCCCAAATGGGAAAATTGATTTATTCTAAAACGAGAAAAAATAAGATTACCAAAAAGAAATCTTTCTTTCTGTAGAATCGTCATTTATTACACAAGAAAAAAAGCTGGAATTTTGAAAGGTGCTTCTTGGGTAGCAAATCAAAAAGAGTGGTGAAAATAGTAATATTGTATGAAGCAGTGCCTCAAAAAATTATTCGAGTATTATTAATGCAGGAATCGTTTTGGAAAAGTAACTTTGAAACAAAAAACAGACCACTAACAATATTCTGATAGAAAATAGGTTTACCCGTATATATATTTAATTTTTTGCGAAATTATTAGTTATACTTGTGTATGACGAAAGATGGCTAAAACAAAAAAAAATGAATTCAACTACTTCGTGTGCATAAAGATTTCAGGGGTCAAAACGATTACTAAATAAATAAAATTTATTTTTTTTTTTTGATTCTAAATTTATTAAATATATTAATTAATATATTAATTAATGTAATAATTAACCAGAATTGCGTTTTTAGACAACTAGTTTGCCTTTCATGAACTAGTTATGATTCTCACTATAAACCAGTTTTATATATTTATAGTTAAGCTGTAATTACAAAAATTATTTAAAATATAAATAATTATCATCTGATTTGTAAATAAACAAAGAATCTACAGGTTCTATTTTGACTATCAAATTGAGATTTCTTTTTAACCTCATATGGACTTATTAAAAAACAATCAGTTATTCAAATATTGTTAGCCGTTATTCTTAAGTAAAATGAATTGAATAAAGTATATATACACCTTTGCTACTGAAAAAAATAAAGCAAATAACTATATTGAACTTTGGAGAAAAAGAGATAGAATAATATTGATGGGTTTGACAGTTTTTGATGGTATATGTCAAATATTTAGGTCGTAATCGGGATCTTGATCAAAATCAACGATAAGTATTATTTTGTATTTGTGCTACTGAAAGAATAATGGACGGGACGTTTAAATTTTCAATATAAAATTCGTATAGTAAGTGCATCTAATTTCTGGTTTTAAGCGTACTTTGTTTTTGATTTTTAAATAAAAAGTTTACTATGTAGCAACGATTATGATTATTTTCGATTTTTTATTTTTTAAATATATTATAATAAAATAATAGCTTAACGGTATAATACGTCACGAAATGATTATCCAATCAAATTACTTTACTTATTCTGGTTATCCTTAGTTCAGCGGACAACCAGGCCTTTTCTCCTCCGTTATCTCCATTATCTCCATTATCGCGCATCTGTTTAAAATTTTATATATATATTTCTTGCGACACAACATTTATATCTCTATTCTAAAAAGTTCTGCAGTCTTGCATTCCTTCAAGGAATATGCAAGTTGTTTCCCTTCAAAACCAAATATAACGTTTAGAACATATCCAAAAAATAATAATTAGATAAAATAAAAATAATATTAAAAAAAACATTGTAATACCTGTTACCAAATTTAGTTTCAACTTGTTTAATAGGCCCAAAAGCAGAAACTCTCTGGTAAAACTTTGGTGAAACTTGGTGTAACTTTGGTGAAACTTGGCAATTTGGTTTCACCACCATCTCTACTCAGAAGCATGTTCACAAGAAAAATATGCAACAGCAACTACCAGTTCTTATTTTTTTTTCCATATATCAAATTGGGGCATTAAAAATTTTATGTGTAAATTAGTATAATGAAGGACTGTATTGAATAAAAAGAGACTTTATAGAGACATGTTAGAGTGGTATATTTTTTAAAAACTATTGTTCTATTTAAAAAATAAATTTGTAACAAATATCATATATTATTTCTATTACTTCAATTAGTAATTCAGGTTAAACAGTTTGAATTTAGAACAGAAAGGTTAAACAGTTTGAATTTAGGACAGAAAGGTTAAATTGTAATGAATCTACTAATTCATTATAGAAAATAAATATCAACAAATATTTATTAGTAAAGTTTGTGATTTATAATTAAATTATTTTACAAGACTTGCTTATATCTTTATTATTCATATGTTATATTTATATAAAAATACATAATTAGTATTACATAATATAAATATATAATAAATAATATCTTAGGTCTTACAAGACCAATTTGAATAGTTACATATAATAATATAATAAATAAAATAGAATAAAATAAATAAAATAAAATAGAAATGAAATAATTAACACATGGGATTATCACATTGTAAATCTAAAGTTAATCTCATATGCTATTATTTATTATCAGAATAAAAAGATAAAAAAAAAGAAATAAATAAATAAAATAAAATAAGGTAAATGTAAACTATATAAAATACTATATAGAGGATGTAACAACAAAAACTGTTACATAAATTCTCTGGTAAAATATAGTTAATATTTAGATCTTGAACAAATATCAAGTAGTTTTGTACAAAAAAAAATTTAAAGAAATTGTAAAAATTAGGATTGAATTAAACTATTTAGTTCAAATTATTAATACATCTTAATTTTTTTATACAAAAGATATTTATATCAATATATATAATTTAAATTAATTACCATGCTTATTTGTTTTAAAAGTTTTGTCTAAAATTCATGTATATTGTAAAATTGAGTAGATGTTAAAAGATAGGCATATATCTTGATTCAAAAGAATGTTGAAAAATTAAATCAAAGGTAAATATTTTTTATCAAATTGATTATATTTGTAATTTTTCAAACTTTGTTAAATTAAAAAAAAAAAACTTACTTGATATATCTTGTCAAGTATAAAATACTTCAAAAATAATTTTGCCATTGATCTTTAATATTTAAAATATCATCTGAATAAGTTTTAATTATCTATAATATTCAAAAAGTTTTTTTTAAAAAAATATATTCTAACTTTTTTTTTAAAAATTTAAAGTTAATATTTTTGTTTTAAGAAAATTATAAATTTTCTTTATCAAAGAATCAAATTTTAATATCTGAAATATTGTTTTTAAGACAAAAGTATAAAACATTCTGAACTTTTTGTGATAAATTTTTTAATATGGTTTTGACAATTCAATTAATTAAATTTGCTCTTGAGAAAAAAGCTAAGATTTTAAAAAGATATCTAATAAAATAATTTTAAAACTTAAGCCATTGGATCTTATAGGTGTATAAATGTTATAATTAGTTGAGATACAGTTTTATAAATTTTTTTAATTTGTTGTAAAATTTTTAGATGACTTGTAAAATAATTTAATATTTAATAATTAAAGAAACTTTGAAACTTTAAAGGTTATTTGTGTATAATGCTTGAAAAATATTTATTAAAATTATTAAAGATAATGTGCATTTGATAATTTTCTATTATGTGATAATATTAGTTTTCTTTTTTGAGTTATCCAAAGATTCACCTTTTCCTTTAGATAAATGCTCAATAATTTTACATAATTTACGATTATTTCTAGAGTGATCATTATCACTACAAAGTTATACAAGTCATGATATCTTAAAGAAAGATCAAAAAAAATAAATACAATAGGTCAAAACTATATATATATAAAGAAAAAACAAATTTGCTATATGAATTATTAAATGAAAATTAATAAAAGTTAAAAAGGTAAAAAGAATATCCTTATTGTATAATTAATAATTCTATTAACTCTTATAATTACAATTATTATATCTTTTGCTAATGTTATTAATTCTCACTTTATTTGAAGTGTATTATTTATGTATTTAATTTTTTCATCATGATCACATGAGAAATCTCATTTAACCTTTTTATGTCTATAATAGTTAAATAATATTTACACCTTATGTGAATCTTAATTATTTTTCTCTTAAATTTTAACTAATTCCAACTGTAGTCAGGTATATTTCCATAACTAATTTTGTGTTACAGATCTATAATAAATTTTCAATAATCTATAATATAAAATTTAATTAATTTGATTAATACTTTAAGACAAAGAACCTGAAAAAATCTCAAATTTCTAGATTATTTTTAAAAATATCCAATATACAAATTTTTAAAAATAATTATTAAAATAAATATTTAAAAACTTGTAAATTTAAAATCCACAAAGGAGAAAATAAAATCTACAATAGCAAATAAATTATACTTGTGTTAAAAATGAATAGTACTAAAGTTATTTTAAATAATTTTTTTAATTTTTTTTATAAAAATTATAAAAACTTATAAATTTTATATATATTAAAAGAAAAATCATGTTTATTTGCAACACTTGTTAACCTCTATCACTATATAAAATAATTTATTAAATGTAAAACTAAAAAAATTCAATGTATTCAAAATGCTTCAATAAATTTTATTTTAAAAAAAATTCAATTATTTGTATCTTACTTTCCTGAGTTAAGTGATATTCAAAATGAATTAGAAAAATATTTTATTTGTGAAAAACATTATAATCAAATCATAACAAAAGATAATTATTTAAATTATTTAAAAAAAGAAATTTTATATTATTCTCAAAAAAGAAGTTATAATATTAATTATTTAGATAAATCTAATTTTATAGATAATAATTCATAAAGAAAATCTATAACATTTATTGATATTGGAGTTCAAGCAACAATGGATAATACTTTATTATTAGAAATAGAAACTTTAAAAAATTTATTAGATACTCTTGTATCTAATTATTCTGAACAATCAAAGATTATCAAAACTGATAGTAATAGAATTTTTGAGTTGAAAAATAAACATACAAATCTTAAAATACAAATGAATGAATTATATAATAAATTAGAATTAATGAATTTATATTTAAATCAATTTGAAAAATTATTAAATGAAAAAAATAAATTAAAAAATGAAAACAAGTATTTAAAAGAACAATGGAATGAGAGGTATAATAATAAAGAAAAATAAATTATAGAAATTGACAAAATTGCATTAATGGAACAAGAACATTTATACAATAATATTATATATTTAATTACTGATCAAAATTAATTTTCTTTATAAAATTTATTAGAATATAATCTTTTAAATTGAATTGAATACTATAATCCTGTAATTGTAAAATTTATTGAAATACTTATAAATAATAATCAAGACAATCAAAAAGAACAACAATCAAATAAAATTAAAATATTTAAATGGGCAATTGCAATAAATGAATTTATAGATTACAACATAACAGTTATATTTCAGCAATTAATTTAACAGCATCAGCAATTAAATATACTTTAAGTCATTCAAGAACAATAATTAATATAAATAATCATATTACTACATTAGGAAATTTTTAAGGGCGAATAACTCCGTAAATTTTCGAGATGTAAAATTTCTGTAAATTTTTACATAAATTTCCATAAATTTTCATAAATCTTCGAAATTTTTTGATGTAAAATTTTGCAAAAATTTTTGCAGAAATTTTCAAAATTTTTTTATATCAAAAGATTTCGTTAATTTTTACGGAATATTACGAAAAGCTTTTTGTAAATTTTCAATGAAAAACGTAATATTCCGTTTAATAGACTAAATATGTAATACAAAATAATTTTGTTTATTTACCTAAATGATCTTGTTTATCTTGTTTCGAACTTTTTCAAAAACTATTCATGAAATTTTAGAAA